TGGGGAGATGGAATGGGAGGTGATGGATGGATGAATGGGGGGGTGGAATGGGAGATAGTTGAGGTGATGGAGGGATGTTTGGGGAGAGGATGGAATGAGAGATGGGGAGATGGAGGGATGGATGGGGGGATTGGAATGGGGGATAGTTGGGGAGATGGGAGGAAGATGGATGGATGGAGGGATGGGTGGATGGATGGATGGATGGATGGATGGATGGATGGATGGATGGATGGATGGATGGGTGGATGGAGGGATGGAGAGATGGAATGGGAGATGGAGGGACGAAGAGATGGAATGGGAGATGGAGGGATGGTTGGGGGGGTGGACGGGGGATAGATGGGGGAATGGAGGGATGGAGCAAGGATGGATTGGGAGATGGAGGGAAGGAGGACTTGAAGGATGCAGGGATGAAGGCATGGATGGCTGGCTGGGTGCATGTGGGACAGATGGCTGAGGGGTGGATGGCCAGGTGGCTGGATGACGGTGGGCGGTCAGGGCCAGCAGCAGGGCACTGGGCGCAGCACCCCCGGCACCCCTAACGCCCGGGTGGCAGCGGGGGGGCCGCTGCCCGAGCGGCTGCAGCAGGCGCTGCTGCCCGTGGTGGGCTACGAGCGCTGCCGCCAGCCCGACTGGTGGGGCATCCTCGCCATCCGCCGCACCATGATCTGCGCCGGCGGCGCCGAGAAGTCCGGCTGCAACGTGAGTGCTGCGCCGGGCTGGGGGTGGGGGGAAACACACTGCGACACCCACCCCCCCCCCCCGGTGCTGATACCCCTCCCCATCCTGCACCCCAGGGCGACTCGGGGGGACCCCTGAACTGCCAGGCGGCTGATGGGCACTGGGAGGTGCACGGCATCGCCAGCTTTGTCTCGGGGCTGGGCTGCAACGCGCCCAAGAAGCCGACGGTGTTCACCCGCGTCTCCGCCTTCGAGGACTGGATCGCCGAGGTGGGGGGACGGGGTGCTGGGGGGTCGGGGTGCCGTGATGTCGGGTTGCCAGGGCGCTGGGGTGCTGAGGTGTCAGGGTGCTGGGGCATCAAGGGGACAGGGGTGCCAGAGAGTCAAGGTGTTGGGGTGCTTAGGGTGCCAGAGCACTGCGGTGCTGGGGTGCCAGGGTGTTGGGAGCTGGGGTACCAGGGTATTGGGGTGCTGGGGTGCCAGGGTATTGGACAGCTGGGGTACCAAGGTATTAGGGTGCAGGGGTGCTGGGGTGCCAGGGTATTGGGGTGCTGGGGTGCCAGGGTGTTGGGGAGCTGGGGTACCAGGGTATTAGGGTGAAGGGGTGCTGGGGTACCAGGGTATTGGGGTGCTGGGGTGCCAGGGTATTGGGGTGCTGGGGTGCCAGGGTGTTGGGGAGCTGGGGTACCAGGGCATTAGGGTGCTGGGTGGCAGGGTGCTTGGGGTGCCATGGTATCAGAGTGCTGGGGAGCTGGGGTACCAGGGTACAGGGGTGCTGGGGTGCCATGATGCCGGGGTACCAGGGTGCTGGGCAACTGGTGTACCAGGGTGCTGGGTGCCAGGGTGCTTGGGGTGCCAGGGTGCTGCACCCCGACCCTGAGCAGCTTCTCCCTTCCAGACCATGAGCCAGAACTGAGCGCGGTGACGGCGGCAACCTCCTGGTCCGGCATCGGGCAAATAAACCCACAGCGCTGGCAACCACGCGTGTCCCTGTGCTGGGGGAGGGCAGCACGTGGCACCGGCTGGGGGGGCGGGGGGGGAAGCGCCCACCGGCACCCAGATACCATGGGGATGGGCACCCAGTGACACTCAGCTGCCACAGGGACAGTTCACCCTGAGGAGCCGCGATGCCACGGGGATGAGCACCCATAGGTGCCCAGATACCACGGGGATGGGCACCCAAAGCCACCCAGGTGCCAGGAGAACAAGCACCCCGAGGTGCCCTGAAGCCACGGGGATGGGCACCACGATGTCAAAGGGACGGGTACCCCAAGATGCCTCAATGCCACGGGGATGGGCCCCCCTAAAGTGCCCTGAGGACGCAGGGATGGCCTCAGCCGTGTGCCCTGACGCCACGGTGATGGGCACCCGGTGACGTCCTAGCACCACGGGGATGGGCCCCCCCCTCCCCGAGGCGCCCCGAGGCCCGGGGGATGGCCCCCTCCAGGCACCCCTGGGGCCGCACACACGGGGATGGGCCCCCCCCTCCCCGAGGCGCCCCGAGGCCCGGGGGATGGCCCCCTCCAGGCACCCCTGGGGCCGCACAGCCAGGGCGGGGGCTCTCCCACCGCCTCCTGCCCTCCAGGCCCGGCCGTCGCTTCGCAACCGCCGCCACCGGCGCGTGACTGGTGAACAAAGAGCCCTTTCACCGGTGACCCCGCCGCGGCCAGCACCCCTGGGACCCCCGCCATCCGGGGCACCCCACGTCTTCCAACCCCACCCAGGCACCCCGCAGGGATGGGTGCTACAAGCACCCCCCCACACCCCCCCCCAATTCCCCTGGGGATCCAGGTGGAAAATTCCCGCCGCGGGGCACCGGGGCTGTATAAGTTTTATTGGCCCCTTGTCACCGTGTCCCGGGGGACCTTTGCTCTTCCCGCAGTGGCCCAGCATCGCCGCTGTTGTCCGCCTCGGGGTGGAGGGGGGGGGGGGGGGGGCCGAGGCTGCCCTAACTCGTGACACCCTTGCACAAGTGGGTGCTGTCTGCTGAGGGCCCCAAGGAGGGGAGACGGGGTGACCCAACGCGGTGGCACCTGCCTGAGCCGGCGGATTCTTATCGGCACCGGCCGTGACCCCCGGCGGCAGCAGGAAAGGGTGGTGGAACGGCGCGGGGGCCAACGCGCCGCGGTGGCAGCGGTGGGCTGGGGGCTGGCACGGGTGCTGCGAACCTCACGTGGGTGCTATGAGCCTGGCACGGGTGCTGTGAGGACTGGAGTAGGTGCTACAAGCGAGACATGGGTGCTGCGAGACTGGTGTGGGTGCTACAAGCGCAGTACGGGTGCTGTGAGCATGGCATGGGTAATGCAAACCACGGTATGGGTGCTGTGGGTCTCTTATGGGTGCTCCAAGCCTGGCAGGGGCACTGCGAGCCTGCTAAGGGTGCTGCAAGGGTGGCAAAGGTGCTGTGAGTGGGGCATGGGTGGTCCACACCTGGAATGGGTGCTGCTAGCCTGGCAGGGGTGCTGTGAGCCTGGCATGGGTGCTGTGAGCCTGGCACGGGTGCTGTGAGCCTGGCACGGGTGCTGTGAGCCTGGCGTGGGTGCTGCTAGCCTGGCATGGGTGCTGTTAGTCTGGCATGGGTGCTGTGAGCCTGGCATGGGTGCTGCTAGCCTGGCACGGGTGCTGTGAGCCTGGCACGGGTGCTGTTAGCCTGGCATAGGTGCTGTTAGCCTGGCACGGGTGCTGCTAGCCTGGCATAGGTGCTGTTAGCCTGGAATGGGTGCTGTTAGCCTGGCACGGGTGCTGCTAGCCTGGCACAGGTGCTGTTAGCCTGGCACGGGTGCTGTGAGCCTGGCACAGGTGCTGTGAGCCTGGCACGGGTGCTGTTAGCCTGGCACGGGTGCTGTGAGCCTGGCACAGGTGCTGTGAGCCTGGCACGGGTGCTGTTAGCCTGGCACGGGTGCTGTTAGCCTGGCACGGGTGCTGTGAGCCTGGCACGGGTGCTGTTAGCCTGGCACGGGTGCTGCGGGGCTGGCACAGCCCCCGGGCCCCCCCGGGCCAGCTCCTCCCTCGCCGGTGGTGCCAGCCGCCTCTGAAAACCCCCGTGTCCTCTGGCCGGACCCACCCCCGGCCGGGTGACTCAGCCGGTGAAGCTTTTCCTTATATAACGCGGCGTCGCCGCCGCACCGGGCGAGCGCCCGCCGAGTGGCCCCTGCCTCAGTTTCCCCTTGCCAGGGCGTCACCGCCACCGCCGCAGCCATGTGGATGGTGTCACCGCCGGTCGGTAAGTGCCAGCTTGGCCACTGCGCAAGGCGTCGCCCCCCCCTGCAAAAATCGCCGGTTTTGGGGGGTTTAGAGGAAAAGTAAGGGTCGTGGGGCAAGCGCCGCTGCAAGTTGGGGCAGAAAAGCATAAAAAGCATAAAGTAGCCCTCAAAAACCAGGTTAATTCTGCAGCTTCTCCAGCTGAACCCTCTTTTCCCCTCGGCCTTGGAGAGGGGGGCAAGTCCCCCCGGGAGTGAAGAGACACCCGTAACTCATTGTGAGGTCACCTGGGAGAGCCAAAACCACATTTTTCTCCCCCAGAAATAGTATTAAAATGCGCAGGCAGCGGCGTGGAGCTGGGGAGGTCCTTCCCGCCCTGTCGCTTTTGGGACTAGAAACGCCAAAAACGGGCAAGTTTGGGTGCCGCGGCGATGCCCGGGGATTGTGACGCTCAGCGGTGCCTGGAACCAGCACTGGTAACCCCCCCCGGGGGCCTGATCCTGCCCGGCACTAGGGAGGGTGGGGATGGTGTCAGTGCGCCCCAAAACTGCCGTCTTTTGTCTCTTTTTGCCTTTGGAGCCCCCAAACCCCGCCAGATTAGCCCCAACCAAGGTAACGAAGCGGGTTACAGCGTCAGGTGCGTGCTCAGCACCCCAAAAAAACACCGGTAAAAGCCGATGCGGCGGAGCGACGGCACCGGCAGGTCGGGGGGGGGTTTTCCACCCCCGGCCGGGCCCGGGCCGGCGGCTCAGGGCGCGGTGTCCAAAGGTCACCACCAGCGGCACGCAGAGCCACCGACCCCGCCGGCATTCCCCAAACCAGGAATCTAATTTAATTCCTTGCAACCAAAGTTTTTCTTTGACACCTCGGGAGCAGATTTCGGTGGTGTTTCGGCGCCGGGACGGTGATGAGTTGGCCTGGGCTCAGCCGGGTGCGGGTAAAGGGGGGAGGCGAGGGCTGGGGGTGGCTTTTGTTTTGCTCTGACGTGCTGTTTTCTTTCAGATGAAGGATCTCACCAGCTTGCCTGGCTTTGGGACCACGGCAAAGGCAGGGTGCAAAGCCCACTAGTAGGACATGACCCTTAAACTCTTTCTCTAAAGCTTAGCCCTATAGGTATATAAGATCAATAGAGCTTAAAACCGGGGTTGGCTTTTAGTCTAAGCTTGGGATTGGATTTATTTTTCTTTTTTTTTTTTTCTTTTTGTGGTTCTTTTATCGGTTTATTTGGTTTTATTTTCGCCTCTGGTGGGTAGATAAGATGCAGGGCTTGAAAAAAAAAAAAAAAAACCAACACCAAAAACCAACCCACAAACCTCGCCGCTTGCTAAAAGGCTTTTGGGGACTTCGGTTTGAGGAGGGGAACAGCCAGCAAGGCTCCTGCCGTCGGCAGCACCCCCCCCCCAAAATCTCCTCTGGCCCCTTCCCAGCACTGGAGGGGGGGGCTGCAGGGCTTTGTCCCCCCCTCCCCAGCACCGACCTGCTACCTCGGGGAGGGTTTATCCACCTCCCCGGTTGGAAAGCGGCCGTCGGTTCCGCCCTTGACCGGCCGCCTCGGCGGGTTGCAGGTATTTTCCAGTCCACGAAGAAGCTGTTCCTGAGCGAGCGAGCGGGCCGGGGTCGGACGCTGGAGTTCATCCGGAAAAACGCCGCTAACGGGCTCTCCGTGGCCAATCTGGTGGCGGGGCTCTCCTCCATCCTCTGCAGCCTCAACAGGTGGGGAGAAAGGGGAAACGGGGTGAAATTGGGAGGGGGGGGGGTTGGGATGTAAAAGGAGGGGGTCCCATCGGTTTTGCCCTCCCCAGGCAGTACCACCACTCGTGCTGGCTGCTGCTGGTCGGGTTCCTGCTCGATTTGGCCGACGGAGCCGTCGCCCGACAGCTCGACGCCTGCTCGGCGCTGGGTGAGTCCGTCCCGCTGCCCCGGCAGCCCCCCCCCCCCCCAGCCCCCCGATTTCTCCCCTGCCCCCCCCCCAGCCCGGCAGCTGCCCGCTCGCTGCTCGCAGGTGCCAAACTGGATGATTTCGCCGACTTCACCACCTTCGGGCTGGCCACGGCGCTGCTGCTGCAGCCGCAGGGCGTCCTGGACGGGCTGCTGGCCATTGCATACGTGATGGCCGTATTCACTCGCCTGTGCTTCTTCTCCAGTGGTAAGATGAGCATTTTGGTTTGTTTTTTTTGGGGGGGGGGGGGGGGGGGGGAGTGATTTCCCCCCCTCCCCGCCCCAGCTGAACGTTTAGCACCCAGCAGGGATCCCCTTCACCTACCGGGGGCTGCCCTGTCCCTACGCCTCCTCGCTGCTGGCGGGCACCTTCCTGCTGACGGGGGGTAACGTCACCCTGCTGCGCGTCGCCGCCATCGTCATGATCCTCTTCATGGTCGATCGGGGTTTCTACCCCCACGACAAGGTGCTGGAGTCCCAGCTCTGGAAAAAATTGGTTTACGCTGGAGGTAAGGACAGGGACAAAATCGAGGGGGGGGGGGGGTAATCAAACCCACCCAGCTGGCAGCGGAGGAGGGAGAAGCAGATCCCAAAGGCTTTTCCCAACCCGCAGGGGTGGCGGCCGTCCTCTTCTTGCCGGCGGCGGTGGCTTCCGTCTATTGCCTCGCCTGGTCGACATCCTACATCATCTTCCCCTTTGCCATCTGGAGCTGCAAAGCCTAAACCCCTGCCTCTGCCTAATGCCTAGTAAAGCCTTCCTCTTCCTCCTCCTCCTCACTCTCGGGTGCCGCCTCCTCTGCCGGGTTCTCCCTTTGCTCTTCTCACCAAATCTGACCCGCAGCGGGAGCCTGTTTAGAAAAGGGAAATAACTGAGCAGGAGAAAAGGCCGTGCTTCAGGGGAGCCCCAAAATTCCCTCCCCACACCCCATCCCTCGTGGGGGTGTCAGCAAACCCCCATCCCCCGTTACAAGAACAACAGCCCCGCTCCAGAGACCCCCAGACCATTCGCTGCGCAGGGGAACGTGACATTTAGGGATCACTCGCACTTTACATTGTTAATTTATTACAAGGGGGAGGTTCACACCCCCAAAACAAAGACACCCCTCTCTGCGGGGAGGAAGCCGCCGATCAGATTTCCAGAGGGTGTTTGAAACCCGATGCACCAGCGGTGTTTTGGTACTTATTATTTTACCCGTCGCTGTAGGGAAATAATCTCTCTAACATGTTTTATTTTCTTCCCCTCTCGGTGTTTGCTCCCTGGGGTGCGGGGGGAAAGCGGGATTCGAAGCCGGCGAGCCGAACTCTCTGGAAAGCTGGAGGATGCCGGCCGGCGGTGGCCGGAGGGCGCGTGGGCGGAGGAAGGAAGCGAAGGTCAAACCTTGCGCGGGAGAGAAACACTCGGGGTCCCCGGGGAGGTGCCGGCGGCGCAAGCAGCTGCGAGAGCTGGCTGCAGCCCCCCCCGATTTCCCCACCCCGCGGCCGGGGGCAGGAGCCCGTCCCTCGGCGGGGAAGCGCCGGGCCGAGGGCCCGAGCTGGCGCCCAGCAGCCGCAGCTGCTCTGGCACCAGGCCCCGCTCCGGCCACCCCCGCGCCAATCCCACCCGGCACCGCCGAGGGACCGGGAGCCGGAGAAATGTGGAACCACCACAGATTTTATTGAGAAAAAAAAAACCAAAAGGGGGGGGGGGTGTTTATTCGATAATAAATAACAAAAGGGTTAGGAAAAGGGGGTGGGCGGCGGATGGGGGGGGGCCGCCTCACTCGCCCGACGCCTGCATCTGCTTGCAGAAGGAGTCGAACTGCTGCTGCTCCAGCTCCGTCATCACTCGGTTGAGGGCGTAGATCTGCGGGAGGGGGGCAGAGAGAGGTGGTGCTGGGGGGCAGGATTCGGCCCCAGGCACCGTCGTGCGTGTGCGTGTGTGTCCGTGTGCGTGTCCCTCCCCCGGGTGGGCTCACCTCCGCCCTCTGCCTCTGCTTCAGCTCCTGCTGCGCCGATTTCTGCTTGGCTTTCTCCAGGCGAGCCGCCGGCTCCCGGGGCTTCGGCCGCTCCTTCCGCCCGGCCCCGCTCGACTCCATGGCTGGGGGGGGGGTGTGGGGTGGGGGGGGGGTCACCCCAGGGCCACCCCCTCCTCTGCCGGCCCCCCCCCCGCACCCCCTCACTGCTCACCCCGCGGACAGACACACACCCCCCCCCCCCGGGATCCCGTGGGGCCCCCACACATCCCTCAGTCCCTTCAGCTCCCCACACTCCGCCCCCCCCCCCCCAAATCCCCGCCTGCCCCTCAGCGCCCCTCAACGTCCCCCCCCCCCCCCCCCCCCCGTTGCCCTCAGCCCCCCCGCTCCCCGGTACCGGCGGGGCCGTGCGCGGGGCAAGATGGCGGCGAGGCCCCGCCCACTCGGCGCGCAGCTGCCGGGCCCTGCGGCGCACGCGCGGACGTGACGCCAGCGAGGTGGAGGGGGGGGGTGGGGTGGCGGTGCCGCTCCCGCTGCGCATGCGCGGACAGTCGCGGCCGCGCGTGCCCAAGCGAGGCCGGCAAGCGGGCCGGGGGCGCAGCAGCGCCGCCTGGCGGGCGGGCGGGGAACGGCCGGGGGGCGGGGCCCGCACCGGCCCTATACAGCCCTGCCCCTCTACACCACAGCCCCTATACATCACACCTCCTCTATACCCCTGCCCTCATACACCACAGCTCCCCTATAGCCCTATTCCTGGACAGCCCACCCCCATATATATATATATATCAATCACCCCCTATACATCATACCCTCTATATAGCGCAGCCCCTATACAGCCTGACACACGCAGGGCCCTATAGCACAGCCCTCCTCCGTATGTCATGTCCCCCCTATATACATATACCTTCCACAGCCCAGCCCCTCCCTGTGGGCAGCAGCCCCTACACAAGAACCGCTCCTACATGTAGAGACCATCCCCTCCCCGCCACCCCCAGGGCTGTGACAGCATGGCAGGACATATGGCACAGCACAGCACACTGTGGCACCGTATGGCGCCATATGGCACAGCGCGGTACCTATAGCGTGGCACAGCACCGCGCCTCACGTACAGCACAGCCCGGTGTGTAGGGGATGGCACGGCGCGGTGCCGTACGTACATACGGCACGGTGTGGTACCTATAGCGTGGCACCGCCCGGCGCCACGGGCCGTACAGCCGCCCCCGCCTCACCCCCCTGCCCCGGGGCTCTCCACCACCCAGCCCCTTCTCTCCAAATCCATTTATTGCAGCAGCCCGGACCCCCCCCACACCCCAAACCCCCTGCGCCAGGACCCTCCTGGGAGAGGACGGGGAGGGCGGGGGGGGGAAAAGGCCAGATCCTGCCCAGCGCTGGGGCAGCTCCTGGGACAGGATCAGCCCAAACCTCCACCGAACAGTGGGAAAACACCCGTGGCGGGGAAGGGGGGGGGGGGGACACGCACACACACACGTCAAACACCCTGCCCCCGTTAGATGCGAACGGTGTTGATGCGGAGGGGTTGCACGTTCTTGCCGTTGGCGTGACTCTGCCCGGGGCTAAAATAAGAGCAGAGCTTGCCGGGAAACCTCTCCCGAAAGGTGTAGAGCCAGGACATGTCGTCAGCATTGTAGAAGATGAGAAGCCCCTTGTCGTAGTCCAGGAAGACCCCCACCTTCTCCAGCTTGCTCTTGACATTGAGCCGGGTCCAGGGCTCGGTGCAGGCGCTGTACTGGTTACCGTCGTGCATGACGATGCAATAAAACCCTCGGCTGGGTTGAATTTGGATGCTGCCCTTGCGGGTGACGGCTTCGTGGGCCAAACCGATCATCCACTGGGTCTTCTCGGAGACCACCACCTCCCAGTAGTGGACCCCGCCGCCGAACGCCTCCGAACCCAAGACCGAGACCTCCACGTCGAAGCGTTTGGGGGAGTCCTGCAGCGGTTGGGGGTGTAGGTTGCCGTACGCCACGATGGTGCAGTCATCAGAGAGGATGAGGCGGTGGTGAGCCGTGCCGGGGTCCAGCGTCAGGGCTGCCGGCACTGGGGAGGGACACGCACAGGGACAAGGCAGGGACAAGCGTCAACACAGGCCCCGGCCCCAGCAGCTCTGCCCCAACAGTTTGCAAACCACCGTGGTGCGGAGGTCACCAGTGCATCCCCATCCCTTGCCGGTGATGTCCCTGCCCCTCACCAGGAACTCCCCCGACCCCTCACCCAGCCCATCCCTGCGCCTCTCACCAGGATGGATATCTTGGAAAAGGGATTTCCAGATGGTGTACTGCAGTGGCCCCATGTATTTGGAGGTGGGAAAGTCCTCGTAGGTCAGGTTGGTCTCATGGATTTTCCCCTTCAGCCTGCGAAGGAGAGATGATGAAGGAGGGGATAATGTGGGGGATCCCAGTGCCACCCTGGTGTCACCTACCTCTCGGAAAGGGACGCGACGCCGGCTAAAAAGACGTGTTTGTCGGCTTCGGCCAAGCGCTCCTGGAGGATCTGGCTGCCCTCTTGCACCTTGCGGAGCTGCTGGCTGTAGCGTTGGATCTTCTGCTCGATGTCGGTCAGCGTCCGCGCCGTGTCCGCCTCCAGCTCCTCCAGCATCGCCTTCTGCCGCTCCCGCAGCAGCCGGTGCAACCGCTCAAAAGCCTCCCCGATAGTTACCCGCAGGCTCTTGGCTGAGGACTTTTGGGGTGCAGGTGGGTGTCAGGACCCCCCAAACCTGCTCTGACCCTCCATGAACCCATAATTCCCAATATAAACCCTGCAGCCCCATTAACCCAAACATTTCTGGATGCTCCAAGCATCCAATGATGGACATTTGACCCCATATCCTTATAGAAAAACTAGAAAACCCCTGTCACTGGTGGGGATGGAGAGAAAATTGAACCTCGCTGAAAGCTGAACCCTTAAGCAAGGAGAAGGAGGTAAATATAAACAAAAAAATAATAAACAAGATAAAGAAAAGCAACAAAATAAAAGAGGGATGAGCAGCCTGTCGGCTTTGTCAACCTGCTGGTGGGTTTTGGGGTACTGGGAAGATTCATGAAACTGTGGGGTTTGGGGTCTTTGGAGGTCCCAAAGTCAGGTCAGTGAGGCTCGGGGCTGGGGTGCTATCGGGGGGCACAGCCACGTCCCCACTCGTACCTTGGTCTCAGCCAGCTGCCGTTTGAGGAGGTGCAGGGCTTCGGTGTGACCCGCGCTCACTCTCCTGCAGCCCCTGGAGCTGCTCCTTCAGCTCCCGCTGAAAAAAAAAAAAAAAAACCAAAACATACAATAGGGGATATGGAGGAAGAAAGGGATCCCAGCCGGCAGCTTTCCTGCTAAAAGCCAGCTCACGGGGTACAGGGGTCATGAGAAAGGGGGTGCAGGGGGTGGCAGGGGCATGGTTGGTCCCTGCTGGCACAGGGGTCCCGTCCTGGGCAGAGCTGGGAGGTGTGTAATGGCTTGGGGGGGGGGGGGTGTCCTACTTGGGGGACAGCTCAGCGGATCCATGGCCGGGCGGTTTGGGGGTCCCCAAGGACCCGCAATGTGGATAGAGAATGGGGGATCCCATGGGGGCAGCCGCAGGACTGCGTGCAGATTGATGGATGGACAGACAGATGGGAGGAAGCCAAATGGTGGAGAGACGGACAGACAGGAGCCAACACCGAGGCAAGAGGGGACAGATGGACAAAGCGGCCAAAAGGAGCCGCTCAGGGGCAGGGGATGCTGAAGGAACGACGCTCCAGGGCGAGGGAGGGATGGATGGACCCACCTGCAGCTCCTCGAAGGCGTCGTCCACGTTGGTGACCTGGTGCTGCTCATGCACAGCGGGCTCATCGCAGAAGAAGCAGACGACAGCGCGGTCGGTGAGGCAGAAGAGCTTGACCTTCTCGTGGTCCTTGCAGGGGAAGGGGCTGCGTTGGGCACCCAGGATGGCATCCAAGGGGAAGGCGCTGTACCGCTCCACGATGTTGGCCAGCTTGAGGCTGGGGGCCAGGGTGGGTTCGGTGAAGGTTCGGCGGCACTCGGGGCAGTCGCGGGTGCCCTGAGGCTCCTGGCGCACCCAGTGCTCGGTGATGCACCGGCGGCAGAAGTAGTGCTCGCAGCCGAAGCTCACCGGGTCCTGGTAGATGCTCAGGCAGATGGAGCAGAGCAGCTCATCCTTCAGGCTGCAAGCCATGGCTCGGGGCTGGGGGGCGCAGATGGTAAAGGGGGGGTCCAGGGGCGGGTGGAATGGGGGCAATTGGGGGTCAGGATGCAATGGGGGGGGAGGGCTGGGGGGGGTTGCAATGAAGGGGGGGGGATTGGGGGCGAAGGTGATTTGGGGGACCCCAGAAGGGGATGTAATGGGGATTGCAATGGGGGGGGATGGACGAGGGGTGAATCTGATCTGGGGGACCCGGCGCGGGCTGTAATAGCGGGGACCGGGGGTAAAGACGGTCTGAGGGAGCCCCGGGGGGCGAGGCTGCAGCGGGGGCACCCGGGGGAGCGGCTGCGATGGGGGCGCGGGGGGCGAGGCTGAGTTAGGGGGGGACCGGCAGCCGGGCTGCAGAGGGACCCGGGTTCGAGACCGCGCCCCGGCAAAACCCCCGTTCGGGTCCGGCTCCTGCCGAGTCTCTGGTTCGAGGCCTCCCCCAGCCGCCGGCGCCCGCTGCCCTCACCCAGCCGGTGCCGCTGCCCGGTGCCCGGTTGGTTCCCGGTTCCCGGTGCCGATGCCCGGGGAGGGGAGGGGAGGAGCGATCTCGCCGCCGTCTCACAGCGCGCCCCGCCGTGACGGGCGGGGGGGTGAACGAGGAGGAGGGGGCGGGACCGCGCGGGACTTCCTGCCCCCCCCCCCCCTCCTCCTCCTCCTCCTCCTCCCCCGCTGCCACAGTGGTGCCGCCCCCGCCCCATTGTCCCCCGCGCGGCGCGGCCCACCGGCGCGTACCACCGCCCGCCTGTGGGGGGGGGGGGGCCCCCCTTAAAGGGGCAGCGGCGGCGTTTGAAGGGGGGGCTCTTAAAGGGGCCGCGACGGCGGGGCGGCCTCCGCCGAGGTCTCCAAGCCGACGCTCGGCACCTCCACCCGTGTCCCGTCCCCTCCAGCCGTCCGTCTGTCCAGCCAGCCAGCCACCAGCCGTTCACACAGACAGCCCTCTGTCCATTCTTATGTCCTTCTGTCTGTCCATCTGTCCGCCCTCAGTCCACTGTCCCGCCATCTCCCCGTCCGTCCCTTAAGCCCTGCATCCATCCACTTGCCCATCTGTCTTTCTGTCCCTCTGTCCACATCCTTCCATCCCCCCCCTTCCATCCTTCTGTCCCTCTGTCCGTCCATCCCTCCAACCACTCCTTTGTCCCTCCACCCATCAGTCCATCCCTCTGTCCATCCATCTGTCCACCTCCAGCTTTCTGTGCCCACCAACGCTGCCCCATCCCAACAGGGGACCTGGGGGGAACAAGGGACACCAACAGGTGACACTGGCACAGGTATTGCTGAAAAAACACCGTTTGCCCAAAAATTTCACACTGAGAGGAGTTGTGGGTGACGGGCTTCTGCTGTCCCCTCCTGGGTCACCATGATGCTTGGCCACGTTGACCTGCGGGACCTATGGGCACCAGTGGGCTTTGCCAGTCCAGGCTGTCCCACAGCAACGCCAGCTGCCCCATGGTGAGGCTTCCCCACCCCCCCCAAAAAAAAAAAAGACCCCCGGGGACCCTGGGGACCTGTTTGCTCCCCACCAAGGACCAAGCAAGGCAGAGGAGGGGTCCCCCAAAACCCCGGGGCAGGAGGGGGACAGCAGGCAGGGGACAAGAGGGCCTGGGGCCCGGAACGTGGAGGAGGGGGGACACACACACACATACACGCAATTCCCCAGGGGGGGTTCAGCCGCATATTTCGGAGGCGGCGTGAACGCCTGGCCGGGAGCCAAAGGGAACAAACTCCTTGGCTTTCGCTGCCGAATCGCCCCGCTCTGGCTGCTGGCACCCCCCTTTCCTCCATCCCCCCCCCCCTCAGCACATCCCCCCAAGTCCCTTCCCCTCCTTTTGGGGAATAACCACCCGCTTTGTTCCTCTTCCTGAAAGGCCCGAAAAGCTTGGGAAAAGCCAAAAACCAAAAGAAAAATATATATAAAAACCCCACATGGGTTTGGGTTTTTTTCTGCTTATTTTTCTGCATTAGGAATTCAGGTCTTGTCTTCCCTCTGGGACCCACTGGGGACCGAGGAATGGCTGAAATTATATCATCAAAGAGCCGTGCCAGCGAGCGGGGATGGGGCCAGCTCTGCTGGAGAAAAATAGAAAAACCACCCTTTTTTCACCCCAAATTCAACCGTGCTCAGATTCAGGGCTGGGGGTCCCATCTGGTCCTTGACAGGTTATTTTTTTAATTTATATCCCAACCGTGTGGCCAAAATACCCAGGAAAATTGGGTGCCGGAGAGCATCGTCCCGCCGGACGACGTGGCGGTCAGCAGGGATTGCCGACGCTCATCCTGGCGGCTCGTTAGGCAATGAAGGGAAACCGCAGGACGGCTGTGTTTGGGCAAACAGGGAAATTAATCCCGTTTAATTAGTCAATTGGCTCCATTGCCTCTTGGTAACCCCAGTGTGAGCCAGGGGGGGCTCTGCCGTGCTTTGATTACCATTTTTGGGGGGGGCACACAGCCCCTTCCCGGCTCTGGCCTGCCAGAGCATGCCAGGATGGGGCAAGGGTCTGGGCGATTCGGCAAAGCGTGGATGCGCCCGCCGGGCAGGGAAAACCCGGCTCCTTCCCACGTGTGCCGCGTGTGCCGGCTCTGCCCGCGGGATGCTGGCGGGAAGGGAGGCCCCTGAGCCGCGGTGCTGGAATTTTCCCCCCCTCCCATCGCCGGATGAAACGGCGCTGCCGGCGGGATGGCACGCCGGGACGTGCCTGCTTGGCTCTCGGCATGTGTGCCTCCATCCCGGCACAGTTTTTCCCCCTCACTGGAGCCAAGGCAGAGCGCCGGGAGCTTCCCTCGCCGTTCGAGACCTCCTGTTACTGGAGCCCATTGTCTTGCTGGGTTTTAAGCCCGGCCTGGCTAGGCTCGGTTTAAGGAGTCCCCTCCAAGTGTGTCGTGGGAGGGGTTTTAGCCAAAGCCGCTTCACCCCTCCATGGAGAGCAGAGGACACACAAAGCCACCCCACGCTGGCGCTTTTCATCTCCTAAGTGCTTTGCAAACATTAACTAATTAATCCTAATTAACTCATTACTTAATTAGAACCAAATGGCCCTCCCATTTACACGCAGGAGGGAAATTCATGCACCCTCAATTCCCCCCCCTAAAACACCCCAAGCCTCCACCGGCTTCACACCAGCATCGGTGAGGACCTCAGCACCCAGCCCTCCCAACTGCCGTGAATCTGGGGTGAAAAACCCACTTCATGGGTTTGCTAAGCCCAAGAAGCTGGGAATGAGGATTTTTGCCCCCCTGGCCCAAGCAGCATCGGGAACCAACACTGTTGATGCCCGGCATGGTCACTCGTGAGGGAACCTCCTCTGGGGCAGGTGGTGGGTGCTTTCACCAGATTTTTGTGGAAAACAAGGGCTTTCTTGCAAAGGAAACAAGGGAGCAGGCAGGATGGAGGAGTTTTAGAGAAGCATTCCCCAAAGGATTTCCTTCCCAGTGTCCCACAGTTGGGGACAAAGACTTTGGGGACGCCAAAAAAGCTGGCCGGAGCCCCACGTCGCCCCTTGGGGACCATATTTTCCCCCTGGGCCATCCTAGGTTGCTGTCCATAAACAACTCCCTTTCTCCACCAAGTCAGTCGGAGGGGTTTTACAAAGCACTGGCACTGTGCCGGACGGATCCGGCTTCATGGTGATGTCAAAAGGAGAAGGAGCTGCTGTTCCAGGGGGAGCACGCAGGTGTAGCAGCCCCACTGCTTTGCCGAAACCCCTGTGGTGGTGATTTATGGCGGTGATTTACCTCCGCTCCTGCCTTCCTCTCCCCTTAATCGCGGTCGGATCTATCCCGGGGGCAAAACCAGCCTTGTAACCATATTTTTTCGGAAGCTGAGCGTTTATTTCCTCCATTTGCAACCCAGGATGGAGACAGGCACAGTTTTATTTTTTTAAACTTTTTTTTTATTATTTTTTTTTATCCCTGCATACCAACCACCTCCCCAGGAAAGGGGCCCCTTTCCCACACCCAAGATTAAATCCATCCATCGTAGGGTTGGAAAAAAAAGTCCCGAGTGTTGCTTATCTCAGCCAGTCTCAACAAGGATGGTCCCAGAAGTTCACCAACCCTCGACGGACCCCCCAAGCTCAGCGATGACCCACACCATGTCCACTCACCACAAATTTGGGGCTGACCAACACCCCTAAAAGTCAGGAATCACCTTAAATGATGCAGAGGTTTAAAACCACCAGTTTCATAATTACAGCAAAAAAAAAAAATCCCAGCAGCTGAAAGCCCCAGCACTGCGGCAGAAGTGAAAGCACCCATGAAAATAAACCCAGTGAGGGGGGAACTTGGTGGCATAAGGGACGGACACTGGTGGCTTAAGGGACATCAGGGAAGCTCCAAGATGTTCCAGTCTCTCCTGGTGTCCCGTTTTGGGATGACACCAGTGCTGAGCGGCAACTGTGAAGTGTCAACATCTGTAATCAGATAAAAGGGGAGTTTCTGAGCTGCTGGCTCGGGTTCTCTGTTGAGTCATGGATAATTAATGGATCTGGGGACCTTCCAAGATGGGGAAATGTTGGGCGATGGGGGGGATCCCAGGCCAGCTGGCTGGTGGCGGTGCTAAAGAAGTGGTGGGGACCTGGGTAGGGGACACAGCGAGACCAGAGAGGTCATGGGGGGGTGACAGCACCTATGCCCCAGCACCATCACCTTGGCCAGGACCTTCCACGGGGTCTCTATGCCTCTCCACTCACGCAGGGCAGTTGCAGACAGAAGCCCACACCTCGCTGGAGACCTTTTGGAAGCTCATCCCACCCCAGCCCATCCCATCCCATCTCTGGTCCTTCCTCTCACCCCATCTCTCTCTCACAGGCATCACTTGGGTTTGCTAATTGTGGGTCCGCCTGTTCAGGGCATCCCTCTCTTCTCCATCACCCTCTGTGATGGACCATTTTGGGGAAGTGTGAAAAAATCCCAGTTTTGCTTTTTATTTAATTATTATTTTAAAATCGGAAACTCAGAAGCACCATCATCTCCTGGACCTTGCGGAAGAAGGAGGGGAACTGGGTGGGCTTTGCCCCCCTTTTCCTTCTCCTGTGGCCTGCATCTGCTGACTTGGGGTGAGAGGCTGAGATGGGGACATGCGGATAAAATGATGGAAACATAGAGAAACAATTTTTTTTTTTTTTTTTTTTTAAAAAAAGGATGCTCCTCAAAAGGGACGTGGGGAGAGAAAGTAAATGGGGAGGCCCGAGGGCTGCCAAAGCAGGGGGGGGTTGGGGAGACCCTGGGAGACTGCAGAGACCCACAGAGGGGATGGGGAGACCCCAAGATGGGGGGCAGACCCTGAGAGGTTTTGGGAGTCCCCAGGGAAATGGAGGGGGACCCTCAGGGGGCTGAAGGAGTACCAGGAGAACTGTGGGGTGGGCAGAGTCCCTGAGGGGCTGCGGAGACCCACAAAGGGGCTGGGTGGGGGCAAAGGCGGGGGGTGACGCTGAGGGGGGCTGTGGGGCTGCAGAGGCAGAGAGAGGGGCTGAGGGGACATCGTGACTGAGATTGGGGGGGGCTGAAGGCATCCGGGGGGCTGAGGGGAACTGGGGGGCTGAGGAGATCTGGGAGGGAGGAAAACTGGGGGGGGGGGATGAAGAGAACTGAGGTGCTGAAGAGCTTTGGGGGGACTGAGGGGAACCAGGGGGCTGAGGAGGTTGGGGCGGGGGGGGCTGAGGAATTTGGGGGGCTGAAGGGAACTGGGAAGGCTGAGGGGTCTGGGGGTGAAGAGTTTGGAGGGTACTGAGGAGATTTGGGGGGGGCTGAGGGATTTGCAGGGTCTGAAGGGAACCGGGGAGGCTGAGGGGACCTGGAGAGCTGAGGAGATTTGGGAGGTACTGAGGAGATTTGGGGGGGCTGAAGGCATCCAGAGGGCTGAGGGGAACTGGGTGGCTGAGATTTGGGGGGTACTTAGGGGATTTGAGGGGGACTGAGAGGAATTAGGGGCTGAAGGGAACCGGGGGCTGAGGGACCTGAGGGCTGAGGAGATTTGCGGGGGCTGAATGCATCCAGGGGGGCTGAAGGGACTGGGGGGGCTGAGGAGATTTGAGTAGTGCTGAGAGGAATTGGGGGGCTGAAGGGAACCGGGGAGGCTGAGGGACCTGAGGGCTGAGGAGATTTGGGGGAGGCTGAGAGGAACTGGCGGTCCGGAGGAGATTTGGGGAGGCTGAAGGCACCCGGGGGGGCTGAAAGGAACCGGGGAGCTGAGGGGACCTGGCGGGTCTGAGAGAGTTGGGGGGGGGGGGGGGAGCTGAGCGGAACTGGCGGTCCCGAGGAGATTTGGGGGATCCCGAGGCCCGGCGCCCCGCATCCCCCGCTGCCTCCCGAGGGGGGCGAAGGCGGCGCCGCGCCGGTCCCGCCGCGTCCCGGGGCTGGGCGGGCGGGGGCGGGGGCGGGCGCGGGGGGGGCGGCGCGGGGCGCCCATCTTCCTCCGTGCGGCGGAGCCGGCGGGACGCGGCGGGGGCAGCATGGCTGTTGGTATAGGAAGTGTCTTTTTTTTTTTTTTTTTTCCCTCCCCCCCCCACCTTTTTTTTTTTTTTTTTCCCCTCTTCCCTTCCTTCTCCCCCCCCCCCCTTCCCCCCCCACATCCATCCCTCCAAAACAGCTCAAACCCCCCCCTAAACCCCCCCCCCCCAACCCGGGTACGAGCGGGGGGGGGACGGCCCACCCCCCCCCCCCCTCCCGCGCGCTGCGTTTTGGGGTTTTTAAATTTAAATTATTTTTTATTCTATTTTTTTTTACATTTTTTCCTCACTCCCCCCCCCCTTCCCCTCCTCGCAGATCTGCAGATATGGCGTCCCCGTCCTAGCGTTTTAAAAATAAGCCGGGGCTGCCATTTTTGTTTTCCTTTTGTCTGCGAATTTTAATAAAACCGTCTGAGAATGTGGAGAGGCGGCGGATGAAGGGGGGGGAAGCTCCCGGCCGGGCCAACCCCCCCCTAAACCCCCCCTTCCATCCCCATCCCGGCCTTTTTGTCTGAAAAAAAAAAAAAAAAAAAAAAAAAAAAGGCCAATCCCCCCCCCCCCCCCCCCCCCATCTCCCCCTCCAGGTCGAGGATTTCAACTTCACTTAACGCCAAACTTCGCCTTTTTCCACCTCTTTAAAAAATTATTATTATTTTATTTTACCACCACTCCCCCCCTTCGCCGAAGAGGAAGAAGAAGGAAAAGGGGGGGGGGAAGGGGGAAAAGAGGGGGAGGACATCCAGGAAAATACCCATTTTGCAGGATTTTCTCTTTTTCTTTCCCTCTGGATGGTCTAATGGAAAAGTTAATTGCAGCTGAACGTACCTATTTTTGTGGATGTTGCATGTTGGGGGGGGGAATGTTTGCTTTTTTTATTTATTCATGGCTTTTTTCCTTACACAGGGGTGGCGGAAGAAGCGCGGGGGGCGGTTATTATTATTATTATCATTTTTATTCCCTTCCCCCCCCCCCCCCTCCCTTTTTCTTCCTTTCCTCTCTTTCCGCATTAACCGGTTTTGTCTAGAAAGTGGTCTCGCTGGCTGGAAGGTCTAACGGGGGAATATTTTTGCATCGCGCTTTGGCAGGAATGCGGCAGCCTTAGCAAGGGACCCAAATTTCCGTGGCGGTGCTTAGAGAGGTCTGTCTGTCTGCCTGGACGTATATTTAGCCATATACTATTTATACATCCATAATCTCCTGGCCACGTCGGGGGCCCGGGGGGGAGCTTAGAGCTGGCGTGGCCACAGCGAAGCCAGACGAAGATGCGTTTTAACCCGGGAATGATGATTTTGCTGATTTTATTTCTTTTTCTCCAGCAAATACCCTGCAAGGTCGGAGGATGCTCCTTGTTTGGGTTTTTTTTTTTTTTTTTTCCCCTGGCCCCACGGTCCTTTGGACAGCAGACGGGTTTTTTAATCCGGGGAGGATGGAGCGTGCTATAGTGGCTTTGAGCCTGAGGCCTTTGAGATTATAAAGTGATATTTTAGCAGAGAGGTAAAAAAGTTTTCTGTCCCTCCCGGCGTGCAATTTGCTGAGAGGCGGAGGGTCCGGGGCAAGGGGATGGATTTCAACCCTGATTTTCCAGCCAGCTCCCCATCCCTCAGCTTCACAGGCAGCTTGGGGGTGAGCTGGGCTTAAGAAAAAAAAAAAAAAAAAAAAAAAATTGCCTTTTTTTTTTTTCCCCCCTGTATTTTTTTTTTTTTTTTTTTTTTTTTTTTCTATTTTCAGGAAAAACCCCACGTTCCCACGGGTCGGGTAGGTCGGAGCCGCTTCGCTTTTGTTCCTCCGCTCTGGGATCTCGCGCGCCGGGGGCTGGCGGTGGGTTCGGGGTGTGTGAAGTTGTCCTCCTTGTCCCCCCGTAGAAAAACGCCCCGCGTGCAGCACCCGGTCTCAGCTAGAGCTGGAGATGGACGCGGATAAGGGGAAACAACGCCAGTACTCGCAGAGGTGGGCATGCCGGCTTTATTGAGGGGACCGGAGGAAAAAAAAAACCCTCTCTCTCTCTATATTTACATCGTAAAATAATGTATATGTGTTTAATGATGTGTATGAATGTAATTATAGATATGCATATAAAATGAATATATATATGCACATGATAATATAGGCATTATCATGTGCGTATATATATTTATATATAAGTGGGGGCAGATTTTGGCCCTCCCTGGGGGATTTGGGGGGGGGGGGGGCTACCTGCCCACCCGCTCTGTGGGGAGGGGACCAGATCCAGCGGCTGAGTGGACCCCGCTCACGGCGTAAGTGTGACCACTTGAAATTTCCGTTTTAAGATACGTGTATTTATATGCGTAAAATAACATTTTTTTTTTTTTTTCCTACTCCCTCAACCCCCCCCCCCCCCCCCCCTATTTTTTTTTTTTTCCCCCCCTTAAAAAAACGATGTGGATTTTTCGGTCGGCGGGTGTGATGTCACGACAAGTGCATGTTGGATTCGGTGCGCGCTCGCGATGTCCTCGGGGCGAACCCCTGCTAAGCCGCCCGTGCCTCGGTTTCCCCACCCGCCGGTGCGCGACATCACCCATGGGTGCTCCTCAGACCCCCGCCTTGCTGCTGGGGGGGGGGGGGCCCGTTGCCCCCTGAGCTGGCTGGTTGGCGGGCACTGGCTTTGCCTTGCGGGGTGCCTGGCTGGTTTCTTTTAGGCGGGTGTATCTGAGGGTCTGGGGGAGCAGGTAGCCCCCCCCCCCCCCAGCACTGGGCAACAGTGTGTTTTGGGGGGGGACACAGGCCCCCACGTTTGACGCAGGCGTCGCCCCACAAGCGCCGGGTTTCCCTGCGGGCTGTCCCCATGTCCCCTTTGGCAGGTCCCATCAGGGACGGGATGGCCGGCCGGTGTTTTGGCCCTGGAGGATTTGGGGTTGCGCTGCCTCGGGCCCCATCTTTTGGGAGCGTTGCCTCCCTGCTTCCCCCCCTCCTTTATCCCCGGGGCGGGGGGGGGGGACCCCGCGGTGGTCCCCAGCGTGGCTTTGCCTCCCCTTTTGCTTCATGCCGGTGCTTGGCTCCTCATCCCTGCGCCCGCGCACCCCCTTTCCCACACAGGGACCCCCACACCAGGATGGGGGGGGGGGTTTACGTTGGGGCTCATTTGGGGTTGGTTTTGCTGAAAATCCGAAGGAGAAACACCAGTTAACGGCCCTTCGGGGGGCGGAAACGTGGGGTTTAATTGGTTCCATCTTGGGTGAATTCTTCTGGCGCGCGGTCTGCCCCCCCCCCCCCCCCCTCCCCGAGCGATGGGGATTTCGGGTCTCGCCCGTCGTTTCTGCTTCCCTGGCCTTGCCTGCCTTCTGCCACCTCTGCTTTGGGGTAAATCCTTCCCGGATGGGGACAATCCGGGTGGGAAGGGATGCGCGTTCCCCAAGGACGGAAGTGGGATAGTGCCGGATGCCACTTCCCACCCCGGGCGCCTCTGGGACGGGGGTTTTTGCGGAGGGGCACTCGCTTTCCCTTGAAAAATCCCTCTGCTCCAGGCAAGCCCCGCTTGCATGTTGGGGGAAGCCGGAGGAGAAGGGGACGTGGCCTTGTGTTTTTCTGGGGGGGAAACTTAGGCACGGCGTGGGGCAGAGCTGTGTTCTGCCCTTGCCCGGCCGCGGGAGGCGGTGGGGACACGGCCACGCCAGCGTCACTGTCCCCTCTCCGTCCGGGACAGCGAGGGCGTGCTGGGGTTTGGCGGGGGGACGCACACGCAGGGGACCCCCACCTCGCTTGGCTCTCGCTCGCCGCGCCGTCTCGGGCCGCCGTCGGCTTTCCTGCGCTCGCCGCTTGGCGTGGGGACGCACACCCACCCCCCCACCCCCCCCCGATGCTCTCGCTGGGACCCTCGGGGACAGGACAGTGCGGTTGGGGACACAGAGGGCTCGGCTTTCTGGCTGGGACCAGGGCATGTATAGGCACTCCGACCGCCGCTCCGGTCACCCCAAATCCCTCCCCTCGCCTCCCACTCCCCCCCCCGTTTGCCGGCTGTACTGGGTCGGTGATCTCTCGCCGTCCTCAGGGCTGCCGGTACCCGGGAGCTGCCCCCTTTCTCTCGGCGGTGCCGTGAAAAGAAATCTCTTGTTTCTTTTTATTTCAGCGAAGGCGAGACAGAGAGGGCTGCCAAGGTAGAGGCGTTCCCTAGAGAACTGTAGCTTGACTTAGCGGCAGTTGGGTAGGAAGTTGGAAGGCTCTAGTGAGCTCGTGCCCACCCGTGCCATCATCTACCTCCCATCAATCTGGAGCCTCATCGACACGTCTCCCCAGGCAGCTGCGGCCACCTGGCTTCTGAGGCCAGCCTGTGAGTACCAAAACACCGGCGTCCGACCGTATCTCGTCACCGCCGACCCCTCGCTGCCGCCGCCGCACCCCTCTCCCGCTCGGCATCCCCCCCTCGCCCCGGCTTGCCGGCTTCTCACGCTCTCTTCCTTCCCCCGTGGGTGCAGGGGTGATGATTTTTTGTGTCTTTTTAGGGTCACCCGAGATGCTGCCACTTCCTGGCTTGGCTCGGTTGGGCGGCAGTGCCGGGTACCGCGCCACTCCACGGGAACTCGGGGGTTCAGCCCCCGTTTTTTTTTCTCTGGGGCTCCGCGCAGCTTCCTGCTTGCTCTTCTGACATCCCTCTCCTCCGGCCGTGCCCGCTCAGGTGGCCGCGATGCTTTTTGCACCCACCCACGTCCCCTGGGACAACCTCGGGCGTCCCCTCAGCAAGAGTTGGCCAAATCCGGTGCCCACGGAGGATTCTGGGGGCTCTCCCGCCCCGCAGTTTGGACCAGAGGACCCCATGCTGCAGGAAAACCGTTACCCAGGCGGGGGTTTCCCCCTGCCTGGCCAAAAACCGGGGGGCACAGAGAGCCCTAACGCGGCCCTGCTGCCCCCCATGCCCCACACAGCCGGGTCCCGCAGAGCCGGAGGGAGACACGCTGCAGCATTCCCCACCCTTCATAATTTCCATTTTAATGGATTTTCTTCTTTTTTTTTCTTTGCTGCATGTCAGCTTCCATTTTTCATAGTTAGCTGAGAAAAAGGGAGTTTTTATATATATATTTTTTTTTTTTTTTTTTTCCATCTGCTTTATATCCCCTCCCGCTCCCTCCCCCAGCCATCCCAGACCTGGGAGAGGGGAAGCCGCTCCCTCGCTCCCGATGAAATACCGCATGATTTATAACATTAAATCGGGACAGGAACAGGGATTTTTTTGGCACGCCGACCATTCTTTCCTCTTTATTCCGGGCAGGTTCATCAACCTCTGAGCGCGGTGGTTTTACAAATCATTTATAATTAATTTAATAAGACCTCCTCAGGTGGAGGCGGGGGGTGGGTATGCACACAGTATTTGCAGTTTCCTCCCCAAAATGCGCTTCGTGTCTTGGCCAACTCCCCTCCAGCTTTGCACGAGGGGTCCTGGGATGGTTAGTGCTGCTTCCCGGCGATGGTTTGGGAGCTGCGTCGGTAGTTTTGATCCTTCTTGGTGCCACCAATGGCTCCGGCAGAGCCCGGCGCGCAGTCGGGACAGGGAGAAGGACAGCTGGACAGATGGACAGGCAGACGGGAAGGACAGAGGTTGCAGGGCACCTGCTGCGACGGGGGAGCAGCTCCAAAAAACCCTTTTCTAATCATAGCTCCGGTTTCCTGTTTTCCCACGCCGCGGGGCTGCCGCCGGCCGAGCGGGGCCAGTGGGGTTCGTGCCGGGGTGCTCGGCCGAGATGGGGGGGGGGGTTGGGGGGGGCCTGGAGCCCTCCTGCCTGCGCTCCTCTGCCTGCTCGCTGCCCGCTTCCCCGCCTGTCTCCATCCCGAGGGGCTTTCCCTGCCGCCACCTCCTCTTTCGGCCTCGTCTCCCGGTGCACCGGCCCCGCGTGCCGTCATCCAGCCCGGAGTCCCCCATCCCATGCTCATCATCCTGAGCGATCATACATAGGTATATATGTATATATATATACACACATAGCCAGTGGGTAAACTCACAATGTGGGCGGCGTGCGGGTACATATATAATGTATATAAAATAGCTGGTGGCGGGCGTGTGTGCGTATGGGAAAGCGCATTTACCAGCCCCAGCAGTTTCCCTGCCTGGGTGCACAGGCGTGGCGCGGAGCGGGACTCCCTGCTCGGCCTTGCGGCGGAGGGAGGAGTAAATACAGTGGATGGAGAGAAAACGGCGGGGGGAAACGAATCATGCCGGGGGGCTGTCACGAGGATCCGGGTCCGTTTTCACTCGGAAAAGCCAAAGTTTGAGGCGTGGGCAGCTGGGGGGGGGGCGGGGGGTGACTCGGAGCGGTTTGGGGCAGGGGAGGGGAATTTCCAAAGCCTGTCGGGGCGCTCGGTGGCCGGGTGGTCTCCCGGCCGTGGCGCGGCCTTGGGGGGGTGCACCCTGTGGAATGGCCCCCCGCTCCTCGGTGCTGCCTACAGCTGCCAGCGCCTCGGCCCCGAAACTCGCCTCGTCCTGCGCCGTGCCGCTCTGTATCGTGAGGGTCCCCTCCTCCCTGCCTCAGTTTCCCCGCAAAAATGAGCCTGGAGGGTCTTCTGCAGCCTGGGGTGGCCGCACGGGTGCGAAGTCCCCGGCGGGATCAGGACCTCCTTTTGCTGCCCACACCCCTGTGAAGACCCCAGAGCGCTCGGCGTCCGATTTAAGCCAAGAGACGGCAAACGAGCGCGATGGGGAGGAGGAGGAGGAAGGCTCATCGCCCCATCCCACCCCCAGGGTGCTTGTTTTTGGGGGGAGCAGGGCCGCTCCTGGGCAGCAGCGGCGCCGGTGCCTTTCGGAGGAGGCTGCCGGGGGTTCTGTGCTGGCGTCCCAGTCCCCGCGGCTCGCCGTGCCTCAGTTTCCCCAGCTGCCAGGGCTCTGCCTTGGGCACCCGCCCCCCCATCCACCCCAAAGGATTTTGGGGACACACTTTGCTGGAGGTGCCGGTCTAGTTTCTCCCGGGATCCCAGCCACGGCCTGGTTTATATTACAGACAGAGCTCCTTGGGGACCTCCTATACGTCCCACCGGGGCCCCTTATACACGTTACCCTTAAACACCCCTGTAATGAGGTTTGCTGGTGCCGGGATGCCCATTTACGCCGGGCTGTTACGCCCATTTCTCTCTGTCCCCCTTTCAGATGTTTTCTATTACCAGAAGATGGATTTAGAATTAATTTTCCCAGCGTGTTTAAGCATCTCTATAAATCTCCCGGCCCCGCTGCAGCTGGGTTTTCCGAGCTGCCTGCGGACATTGCGGGTCGCTTTGCTTGGGATTGGGGGTGGCTTTTTTTTTTTGGGGGGGGGGGGGCAGGGATTCAGCTGGGGTTGGCTTTGGGTTTGCTGTGCCGCTGTTGTACTCGCCCTCCCCCACGGCAGCACCTTGTTTGCCGTCGTAATCCCTCCTGGAGATACCGGAGGAGCAGCGCCGATACCTCTGGGGCTTGGCAGATTTGGGGGGGTTTCCCCCAAATTTCCACACACCCCACACCCCCCCCCGCCTTGCCACGTCGCGTCCTCATGCACTTGCTGGCGTTTCGGGGTCTTTGAGATGCTTGGCATTCCCTGCAGGAATTTCCAGCTGGGAAGATGCTTGGGAGGTTCCCTGGCCCTGCCTGCTCCCTGCTTGCTCCCTGCCTGCTCCCTGCCCCCTTGTAGAGCCCAGGGGTTGCTTTTTGAGAAGGGGGGGTCGTTGTTGGTGGGGTTCAAGCCCCCGAGGGGGAGCGGGAGAGGGGGGGGGTGTCTGTACAGTGGCTGGTGCCACCCCTTAACCACCCCGCTCTCTCCCTGCAGGATGGCGGAGCCTCGCTTCAACAACCCCTACTTCTGGCCGCCCCCCCCCACCATGCCCAGCCAGGTAGGACCCCCCCCCCCTCCACGGGGACAGAGGGATTTTAGGGGGGAGGGAGGACAGACAGATGCAGGGGGGGATGCTGGGGGGTGCTGGCTCCTCCGCCCCTCACCATCCTGTCTGTCTTCTTCTCCCCCCCCCCCCCCCCCCCCCACCAGCTGGACAACCTGGTCCTGATCAACAAAATCAAGGAGCAGTTGATGGCAGAGAAGATCCGACCCCCGCACTTGCCCCCCACCTCCGTGGCCTCCCAGCAGCCCCTCCTGGTGCCCCCATCGCCCGCCGAAAGCAGCCAGTCCATCATGTCCCTCCCCAAACTGCAGCAGGTCCCGGGTCTCCACCCTCAAGCCGTCCCCCAGCCCGACGTGGCCCTCCACGCCCGACCGGCCACCAGCACCGTCACAGGTACCGTCACGGGGGCTCCCGACATTTTGGGGGGAGGGTTCCCCCCCCCCCCCCCCCCCCCCCCCCCCCCTTCCTAGTTTAAGACCCTGCTGCGAGAGAAGAGGGGAGGAGGGTGGACCCTCTCAAAATTAACGCGGCCCTCCCCTTTGCCCGCCAGGGTTGGGGCTGGCTTCCCGTGCGCCGGCGGTCAGCACCTCCGAATCCAGCACGGGGACGGGGACCACCACCCCATCGACTCCCACCTCCACCAGCCAGAGCCGCCTCATCGCCTCCTCGCCCACCCTAATCTCAGGAATCACCAGCCCCCCCCTCCTCGACTCCATAAAGACAATCCAGGGCCACGGCTTGCTGGGGGCACCCAAGGCGGAGCGGGGCCGTAAGAAGATCAAAGCGGAAAATCCCTCGGGACCGCCGGTCCTGGTGGTGCCCTATCCCATCCTGGCCTCGGGGGAGACCGCCAAAGAGGGGAAGACGTACAGGTAGGCACCCACCCCCCCCAGCTCGGGGGGGCCGGGGTGATGGTGGGGGTGCCCCCCCCAGCCCCAGCCCGGTCCCTGCGGGGTTCTCCGCCCCCCCCTCTCCAGGTGTAAGGTCTGCCCCTTGACGTTCTTCACCAAGTCGGAGATGCAGATCCACTCCAAGTCGCACACAGAGGCCAAGCCCCACAAGTGCCCCCACTGCTCCAAATCCTTCGCCAACGCCTCCTACCTGGCCCAGCACCTGCGCATCCACCTGGGCGTCAAACCCTACCACTGCTCCTACTGCGAGAAGTCCTTCCGCCAGCTGTCCCATCTCCAGCAGCACACCAGGTGTGGGCACGGCGGGGCTGGGGGGGCCCTTAGCCCCATCGTCCCTTAGGGGGGTGGGGGGGCACCCACCCGGCAGCTCTCTTGCCATGCTCGTCGTCCCCAGTGCCTTCATAGTCCCCATCCCACTCGTCATCCCCTCCGCCTTCATCATCCTCACCGCAACCTTCACTGCGCCCACCGTGCTCATCATCTCCACCTTCCTCATCCCCACCACCTTCACGGCCCCCACCGTGCTCATCGTCCCCGCCCCCCACTTTCACGGTCCCCATCCCACTCATCAGCCCCTCCACCCTCATCATCCTCACCACCTTCATCATCCCCACCACGCCAGTCTGTCCCCACCGCCTGCATTGGCCCCCCCATGCGCATCATCCCCATCTTCATCATCTCCACCACCTTCCTGGTCCCCACCGTGCTCATCATCCCCCCCACTTTCATGGTCCCCATCCAACTCATCATCCCCATCACCTTCATCATCCCCACCATGCCAATGTGTCCCCACTGCCTTCACGGTCCCCACCATGCTCATCATCTCCACCTTCCTCATCCCCACCACCTTCATTGTCCCTACCACGCTCATCAGAGAATCATTTAGGTTGGAAAAGACTTCTGAGATCATTGAGTCCGTAGTGCAGTCACTTCCAGCACCATTTTTGCTCCCGCCACACTCCTGCATCTCCTCTGTGCTCATTGTCCCCACCACCTTCTTCATCCCCACCACACTCATTTGTCCCCACCATGCTTATTGTCCCCACTGCCTCCATCCCCACTGCCTCCATCATCCCCACTGCCTTCATCATCCCTATGTCCTTCATCATCCCCATGTCCTTCATCATCCCCATGTCCTTCATCATCCCCACTGCCTCCATCATCCCCACTGCCTCCATCATCCCTATGTCCTTCATCATCCCCATGTCCTTCATCATCCCCACTGCCTCCATCATCCCCATGTCCTTCATCATCCCTACTGCCTTCATCATCCCCACTGCCTTCGTCATCCCCACTGCCTCCATCATCCCCATGTCCTTCATCATCCCCATGTCCTTCATCATCCCCACTGCCTCCATCATCCCCACTGCCTCCATCATCCCCATGTCCTTCATCATCCCCACTGCCTCCATCATCCCCACTGCCTCCATCATCCCCACTGCCTCCATCATCCCCATGTCCTTCATCATCCCCATGTCCTTCATCACCCCCACTGCCTTCATCATCCCCACTGCCTCCATCATCCCCATGTCCTTCATCATCCCAATTCCTTCATCATCCCCACCACCTCCATCATCCCACCACACTCGCCCTGCCCAACACCTTCACTGCTCCCACCATGCCTGCCCAGCCCTGCCAAATCCCTTCCCCCTCAGCCCCACATCTTCCCCCCGGTGCCCCGCTGGGTTCTGTGCCCCGCCCCCCCCCCATCACTCGAGGCACCACCATCACCATGCCCAACCCCCCGCTCCCCGTTCCCACCGTGACCCCCCCCCCGGCGGAGCAGGGGGCAGCACTGCTCCCCTGGGGGGGGGGGTGTGTGTCACACACACACAGACACGCACGGGGACGGTGACCTGACGCGCGTGCGCATTCCCACCAGAATCCACACCGGCGACAGACCCTACAAGTGCCCGCACCCCGGCTGCGAAAAGGCCTTCACGCAACTCTCCAACCTCCAGGTCAGTGCCACGGGGGCGGGAGCCCCGGGAGGGGGGGAGAGGAGCCCTGGGCCCCCCCCCCTCCTGGGGTGGGGAGGGCACAGAGGTGGCGGTTTGTAACACCCCCACACCTTCCCCCCCCCCCCCCCCCCCCCCCCCCCCCCCCCCCCGTGGCCATTCCACAGTCTCACCAGCGACAGCACAACAAGGACAAGCCCTACAAGTGCCCCAACTGCTACCGGGCGTACACGGACTCGGCCTCGCTCCAGATCCACCTCTCGGCTCACGCCATCAAGCACGCCAAGGCTTACTGCTGCAGCATGTGCGGCCGCGCCTATACCTCGGTGAGCTGGGGAGGGGGGGGGGGGGGGCCCCACCCCCTGCGCCCCAAAACCACCCCCAAACCACCCCCCAGCTCTATGGCTCACCCTCTGCTCCCCCCCCGTTGCAGGAGACCTATCTGATGAAGCACATGTCCAAACACACGGTGGTGGAGCACCTCGTCAGCCAGCACTCGCCGCAGAGGACGGAGTCGCCCGGCATTCCCGTACGGATCTCCCTCATCTAAGCCGGGGGGGGACGGGGACGCCTTCGGCATCGGGGCTGGGGGGGGGGACACCACACAGACACACAGACACACAGACACGGGCCACCCCCCCCGCACAGAGGAGGAAGAGGATGGAGGAGGAAGCAAACCCACCCGCAGCACCCCAGCCCTGGCCGGGAGCCCGGCGGGACGTGCCCGGGGCTGGGTGTCCCCCCGCCCTGCCCCGGGTCCCCGCAGGTCTGGTGACATCCAAAGACGGTTTCAGAGCACTTTGAATCTCTGCGGTTTGGTTTCGGTTTTTTTGGGGGCGGGGGGGGGGGCGGAATGGGGGTGAGGGGGGGAGGTTTCTCCTTCCCCCCCCTCAAGTCTCTGCCCCCTCTCATTTTTTGGATACAAATATATATATATATTTATTGGCCAAGAAGTTGGTGCTGCTAAAAACAGAATTTAAGACCCAAAACGAACCGTGGATGGAGAAAAATGAAGCTGGGGGGGGGGGGTCCCACTGCCTCCCCCCCCCCCCCCCCCCCCCCACGGACTCTCCTGCAGGAGCAGACGGGACTCGGGCCGGGGACCGCGGCGGCCACCGCCTCCTTGGGGACATCGGGGGGGGATTTTTAAAACTTTGGGGGGGGGGGTGGTGGGGGGGTTGGTTTTGTTGGTTTTTTTTTTGTTTTGTTTTGTTTTGTTTTTTTTTCGGGGTCCCTTTTGAGGGAGAAGCCGGTGGGCAGAGCCGCGTCCCTCCGGGGCTGGATCCGACCCCCTCCCCGTCCCCAGGATCCCCAAAATCCGTCTCGGGGAGCCGGGGGGGGGGGGGCGGGGAGGGGTGTGTAAATCGCTTTGCCTTGTGCCTGCCGGCCCCGGGAGCCTGTACATAAACCCTGTATAGAGCTGGGGGGGTTGCACCCCCCCCGCAGAGCCGCGACAAAAAACTCATCTATATTCTGTACTCTTTGGTTCCGGTTTTGGATATTAACTGTGTTATTTTTTTATACACTTTTTAAGCCTTAACTCATCGTTTATTTTGGGTTTTTTTCGCCAGGGTGTTTTATTTACCTTCTGTTTATTAATTTTTAATGTCCCCCCACCTGTTATTTTTTATTCCCTCCCCCCCCCGATTCCTCGTTTTCCCCCCCCCCTCGATGTTGTACGATACTCAATATTGTAATCTTTTTTGTCAGCATGTTAATACTGTGTAAATACGCCTCTTATACACTTAACATCCCCCTTCCCCCTTCCCCCCCCCCCCCCAGTTTTGGGGCTTTTTTTATTTTCCTTGATGGAAATCCAGGCCACGCATCCCTAGAGCTAGTTCTTACCTTATTAAAAAAGGAGATGAAAAAAAAAAAAAAAAAAAAAAAAAAAGCCCTTTATTCTGTACACCCCCCCCCCCCCCCCCGCTGTCTTGCATTGTGGTTCAGAGAAGCCGGGGGGGAACCGCGCCCTCCCTGGGAGCGTTCGCGGCATCAAAAAGGAGTGAAATCCCCCCCAAAACCGGCGCCTGTTTCCAAAAAAAAAAAAAAAGAAAAAGAAAAAAAAAAGAATAAAACAGAACAAAAAAAAAAATAATACAAATCTGGGGTTCTTTTGTGTTTGTTGGGGAAGGTTAAAAAAAAAAAAAAAAAAAAAAAGATCAAGGTGGAAACGGGCGAGCAAAGGGCCGCTGGGTCCCCCGGGCCACCGCGGGGACCCGCCGGGGACACTGGTGGTGGCCCAGGCCCGTGGGTCACCCCGCCAGCACCGGGGCTGTCCCCACGGCGTCCCCAGGAAAGGCAGCACCACAGCCCGGGGAGGGGGGGTCACCGGTGCTCTGGGGGAGGGGGGGACAGGGACAGTGCCCTGGGGCCACTCAACCACAGCCCCCAGCTCTGGGGACACCCCCACCACCGTGGCCCCCCCAGCTCTGGGGACACCCCCACCACTGTGGCCCCCCCAGCTCCACCCACACGTCACACACCCCCCCGAGGCTCCTCAGGGGACAGTGGCCACCCCCCCCAGCAACATCTCCCCAGCACCCCCGTGCCACCACAGCCCGTGTCCCCTCCTGCCCCCCCTCCCATGCCATGGCCCTGCAGGGGTGGAGGGTCCCCACCTCCCACTCGGGGGGGGGGGCAGAGGGGGCACCCCCGGGGGTCACACGGGCCAGGAGGGCACCGGGGAGGTGACACCAGCCCTGTCCCCCCCACCCTGGGGACACCCCCGAGGCACTGCCTCAGTTGACCCAGAAAGGAAGCGGGGGGGGGGGGGGGAGGAGGAAAGTGGGGGGGCCCCAAGATTTTTTTCTTTTTTCAGTGTTTATTAAAAACAAAAACAAAACAAACAAACAAACAAAAAAAAAAACAGGAAAAAAAGGGGATGTGGGGTCCGTGGGATTTTTTCTTTTTTTGTTTTTTCTTTTCTTTTCTTAAAAAGACCACGGTGGCCAGGGGGGTGTGGGGGGGTCCTTACCTGCCTGGGGGGGCCCCCCTGCCACCACCACCACCAGCCTCTACTAAGGTGCCCCCGCAACAGCCCCAGGGCATGTGGGGGGGGTGTGTGACACCTTCTCTGCACCTGGGCACCCCGAGATGCTCCGACACCCCCCCACACCCCGGGGGCTACCACCCCCCCTCTGAGGCTGGTAGCCCAAATCCTGGCTGGGGGGGTGAGGGGGGGGGGGGCACACCACACGTTAAGGCAATCATCCTGCTTCGCCCTGCCGTTTTGGGGAGGGGGGGACACGGGGGAGACAGGGCCCCCCGCTCCCTGCCGGAGAAGGGGGGGGTGACCCCCCCATACAGGGGGACGCTATAGCTAAGGGCTATATACACACCCCTGGAGATGTTTTTTTTTTGGGGGGGGGGGGGGGGAGGGTGGGGGGTGTGGGGTGTGTGTGTGTGCCCTGGGGTTGGGTTGTGCTCAGAAGTGACTCCCCCCCCGCCCCCCACCAGCCCCCCTCCCCACAGCTGGGCAGGGGTTTGGAGGGGAGGGTGTCCCACGGGTGTCCCATGGGTGCCCCCCCCCCCCGCCCCGCCACCCAACCGGCTCTAGGAGTCCTTGAGCATGCTGATGCGGGCGTAGATCTTGAGGGCCGGCCCCAGTTTGATGTTCATGGTGCTCATGAGATGATCCTCCTTCAGCAGCAGCAGCGCCTGCCCGTCGATCTCCTGCGCCCTGAACTCCTCCGCGATCTCCTGGCAGCCTGCGGGAGGAAAAAAAAAAAACACTCAGCAAAAAACACACACACACCCCCCACACCCCCCCCCCCCAAAAAGCGTGTGTGTGTGGGGGGGGGGTGTGTGTTCTGCTGTTCCCCCAAAATATTCCTCACCCGGCAGCGAGCGGATGAACTCGTAGACGTCCTCCACGTTCCACTTGCTGGGCTCGCTCGGCAGGAAGCGGTGGCCGATGCTGGCCAGGTCGCGGACGTGGACGTCGGGCAGCTCCATCTCACGCAGCTCCAGGTCTCGCTCGCCCTGCCGCCGGCGGGACGTGGAGGAGCTGGCCGAGATGGGGGAGAGCGGTTCCTCGTAGCTCGAATTATCCGAACAACGACTCGAATCTTCTTGGCTGTGGTTGAGCTGCAACGACGCCGTCACGGAAAGAGGCACCGAACCCGGCGAGAGAGAAACCGGCGGCTGCGGGACGGAGCAGCGCCGGCCTCAGAGCCCACCCGTGCGCGTGTGTCACCCCGGATTCGGGGAGCAATCTGCCCGGCCCCCGCCCTCACCTGCTTCTTGGTGTCTTTGCTGAGGGTGGGCAATGTCCCCTTGCAGGTCCGGCGGCGGCCGTGGGGAGGACCGCCGGGTTTTTGCAGCTTGCTGCGATCGGGGTGGAACAAACCCACCCGCTTCGTGCACCCCACATTGTACCTGTGGGGAGGGGAGGGGGTGAGGGAGGCTGGGGCCTGCTGGCGGGGGGCCGCGGGTTTTTTTTTGGGGTTACCTCTTGGCACAAGCCATGGAGCAGAAGCGCTTGGAGCGCTTGAATTTGTAAGCGAAGTCGACGCGGCCGCAGAGCTCGCACTTCAGTTTGGGGGGGTTCCCCTCCTCTTTGGATTCTGGGGGGCGCGGAGGGACGCCCAGAGAGAGAAACGCAACCAGCTCAGCCGTGAACCCCCAAAATATCACCCGTGGGGGGGGGAGAGAAGGGGGAGTTCTAGCACACCCCACTCGGCGAGGGGATTGTTCTGGGGGGGCCGGGCGCTACCTTGTAAATAAGGTTCCTCCATTTCGGAGTCGGTGGTGGTGGTGTTGTCCTGCTGTGGGAGTTTCTCAGCCAGCAGCTCCTGCGCATACTTCTTCTTCAGGTTTCCCACCAGCAACGAGGAGCGCCCCACCTGTGATGGAAAAAACACTAGTGGGTGCTCCCCCCCCCCCCCCCCGCCCTCCTCAAACCTCCCTCCCTCCTTAAAATCCAACTCCACGAGGGAATATAAGGATGGGGGGATACGTTACCGGGAACGGTTCTGCCCCTTCCTGGATGACGAAGCCCTCGATAACGTGGGTGAGGATTTGGGGTTTCACGATGGCCTGGGGCGGTTTGTTCTCACCATTGTGGGGGGCAGCGCCGGCGACGGTGGAGGCAGAGCTCCCGGTGCCCGAGGTCATGCCGGGAACGCTGGGCAGCGGCGGGGGCTGAGCATGAAGGCGCTCGGCGGGCGGCTCTGCGGGGGGGGGACCCAGGCGCGCACCCCCTGTTACAGGGGCCGCCGTGACGCCGGCGGTGACGCCGGGGCCTGGATTACCATACAGCTGGGCTGCTTTGGGAACGGGGGGGGGGGGGGGGGGGGGGGGGGGGGGGGGGGGGAAGGAGGAGGAGGAGGAGCGGGGGGGGGGGAGGAGGAGGGGAGCAGCTGCCGCCGCTCCCAGTGTGGCCCAGTGGGTCCCAGTACTGCCCCGCAGAGCCCTTGTGTATAGCAGTGGGAGCCCCCCCCCCCCTCAGCGCACCCCAAAATATCCCGGTGGATCGCGGACAGCCCCCGAACACCCCGGCAGATCCGAAAGAACCCCCCGAGACGCCCAGGAAGCCCCCAGTGCGCACCAGTAAAGCCCCAATACGCCTCAATAAGGCCCCCGTACGCCCCAGCAGAGCCCGATCTATCCCGGGAAAGCTCGATCTACCCCAGTAAGGCCCGGTACGGGCTGATGCACCCCAGCCAGCCCCCATCTCCCCCAGTAAAGCCCAGTATGCTCCAGTAAGGCCTCATCTGCCCCCGCACGGCCTGGGAGGCGCCGGTAAGGCCCCGGTAGGCCTCGCTAGGCCCCGGTAGGCCCCAGCACCTTTGTCCGGCGGCGCAGCCCGCTCCCCCCGCCCCTACCTGCGCCCGGGCCGCGGCCGCGGAGCCGGGACCGGGACCGGGGCGTGTGTGTGGGGGGGGGGTGGGGGGGCGGATGCGGAAGTGAGGTCAGCGCCCGCCGCCCCGCCGGGCCGAGCCGGGCCGGGCCAGGCCTCGCCTCGCCGGGGTGGGTGCGGGCGGGGCCAGGCCGCACTCACCGGCGGCGCTCAGCGGCTCGGCGGCCCCATGGCGCGGACAAAAGGCGGCGCGGGCGGCGGCGGCGGCGGCGGAGCGGGGACAAAGGCGGCGGCGGCGGCGGCGGGGCCGGGCCGGGCCGGGGCGGCGGCGGCGGCTGCGCGGGGGCGGGGCGGGGCCTGGCGCTGGCCACGCCCCTCACGCCCCGATTGGCCGCCGCCGCCGCGCGCGCGCGCGCGCGCCCCCCCACGGCCGCCAGAAAGGCGGGGCCAGCGGGGAGGGGCGGGGCTACAGCTCCCCCAGCAGCGCCCGTGCCCACGCGTGGGGGTGGGCGCTCCCTCCCTACACAGACACGCGCGTGGGGCGGGGGACAACCCCCCCCACCGCCCCCCCCCCCCCGAGACCCCTCTACAAGCAGAGGGGGCCTCCTGCCCTCCGCCCGACTGACCCCCTCCCAGCACTGTGTCACGCGTGGGCCGACGCCACGCACACCCCTAGTTCGCAGAACCCCATGCGGAGCCCCGCAGGCACCACGCACCATCCCCCCGCCCAGTGTCCCCGCCGCCGCCGCGACCCACCAGCGGTATGCGGGGGGGGGTGGGGTTTGAGGTTGGCTCTGCCCCACGAGTGGGTGCCCGTGGAGGGGGAAGGGTGGCGTGGGGCTTACCGTGAGTGGGGGGCCGCTCGCCCTCGGGGGTGTCAGGGCCCGGGGGGGCAGCGGGCGGCGAGAGGGCGGGGGGCTGCGGCGGGGCGGCGGGTGGGCTCTCAGCGCTCCTCGGGGCGGGCAGCGGGTCCCGGCGGGCGCCCTCGGGGACCCCGAGTGGGGGCTGCAGCGGCGGGGGGCACACGCGTGGGCGAGGGTCAGGTGTGCAGTGGGGTGGGCAGGGGGGCACGCGTGGGCGCGCCCGGCTGGAGCGTGCCCACGCACGGGAAGGGTGGGCACACACCTGCGGGTGGGGCTGGCCCACGCGTGTGCACACACGCGTGTCGCAGTCAGGCGTACGTGTCCACACACAGGTGTGTGATCCAGAACGTGTGTGATCCACACACGTGGGCACGGATCCGGCACACGCATGTGCATGGATCTGGCATGAGCGTGCACACGCATGCACGGATCAGACATGTGTGGATCGAGCACACGCGTGCACAGATCAGGGGCACAGGTGCACACACACGTGTGTGGATCTGGCAAACCGTGCATGGACCCAGTGCACACACGTGTGCACGGATCAGCCCCGCGTCCATCGAGCGCACGTGCACACACACGCGTGGATCAGGCACATGCACCCCCCCACGTGCACAGATCAGGTGCATACACGCATGCACGGACCAGGCGAACACGCCTGCACACATGTGTGCACAGACCGAGCACGCACACCCACACGCCTGTGCACGGGTGTGCCAAACCCGTGCGTACCCACGCGTGGACCTGGCACGCGTGCACCACCGTGCAGACACACAGATTGAGCACATGTGCACCCATGTGCGCGTGCGTCAGCCGTGCCCGTGCGCACACGCAGCTGCACCCCTACCACGTGCACACGCGTGTGCACAGACCACCCCCGCCCCCTCCATGCACCCCCCACCCCTCCCTCCCCATGTACACGGATCACACACCCCCCCCCCCGCACACCCAAACCCTTTGGGGGGACACGGGGGGACGCCCCTCACCGTGGCGCCGGCGGGCTGCAGCTGCAGGATGACGGCAGAGGCGTGCTGGAACTTGCGGGGGGCAGCGTGGCAGCCGGGGTGACCGTTGGGGGGGCCGCTTTCACCCCCCGCTCCTTGGGGGAGCCCTGCTTTGGGTTGGGGGGCCGGGCCGGGGCTGGCAGGGGGCAGGGGTTGGAGTTGGGGGGCTGCGGGGGGGCCCGGGGGGGGCTGCCCACGGGGCGCCAACTGCTGCTGCTGCTGCTGCTGCTGCTGCTGGATGACGAACTGCTGCGGCTGCGGCGGCATCGGCTTCGGCGGCTGCTGCAGGAACTGGGGGGGCTGCAGCGGGGCATAGGCTGCGGGGACAGCGACGGGGGGACAGGGACCCCCCCCCCCGTGTCACAGGGTGCCCCCACGGGCCCCACCCCCAGGATCCTCTCCCCCCAGGGCGATGCTGCTCCTTGCTCTAGCATCTGTTCACTCTGGTGCCTACTGACAACCAGCTTTGCCAGCTCCTGCTGTGGATGGAGGCTGGGCTCGGGTGGTCCGTGATCCCCCATTTTGGAAGCCACAGCAGCGCAGCATCCCCAGGCTCCATCACCCCGTGGGGCCCCATGGCCCACACCCTCACTGCTCCAGCCCCCTGCACCCCACTATGGAGGCTCATCCCACAGGGCCCCAGGACCCTACAGGTGCAGAGACCCTCCCAGGCAGAGCCCCTGTGGGGGTGCTTGGACCCACAAGGTCCCAAATACAGGCAGGATGCCAATGTACAGGAAGCACCAGTGCAGGCCATCATTAGGTTTCAGAGTGAACGCCCCGCAGGCTGCTCAGCTGCAGGCTGTGTCCACCCTGCTCACCTTGCCCTGACTTTTTGAGCGCCCAGGGCAGCGGTGCCGCGCCCCTGAAGTGGATACATGGGGTTGCCGGTCTCACGTACAGGTGAGAAAACCATCATTAGGTTTCAGAGTGAACGCCCCACCCTGCGGCTCCTGCACCACCCACAGGTGCCCCCCCACCCCCCCTGACTTGGTGCAGCACCTTACCTGGGGTGACGAGCGGGTGGGCGGCAGCGGGGGCGGTGGCACGGGCCAGGGGGTGGGCGCGGGCGTCAGGCCCCTCGGCTTTTTTGAGGTGCTCGGTGGGGGGGTCAGGTGGGGGGCCCCGAGGGGGGCCGGCCCGGGGTGGGGGACCGCCGGGGGGCTTCATGGCCAGGGCAGGGAGGTGGGGGCCAGCGGGGCGCAGGGCCAGGCTGTGCACCTGCAACGGCAGCGGGTCAGGGGGTGGCTGGGGAGGGGGGGTGTGGGTGGGTTTGGAGGGGGCTGTGGATGCAGCGGGCGGGGCGGGGGGGGGGGGGCTCACCTGGGGGGCGGCGGGCGGTGCGGCGGGCGGCGGGGCGGGCGGCGGGGCGGGCGCAGGGCTCTCGGGCCGGACAGCGCTGACGGGCCCCGTGGGCGTGAAGATGAGCTGGGGAGTGGGGGGGGACACGGAGAGTGGATGGGTGACATCCCCGGGGGGGGGGTGGTGTGGGTGTGGGTGCGGGTGTGTCCCCCCCCCCTTACCATCTGCGCCCGCAGGTACATCTGGGCCTGGCTGGCGGTGAGGGCGGGCGAGGCGGCGTTGCCCAGCAGCACGGCTTGCTGCGCGATGCCCGAGGCGCCGGGGGCCACGCTCTGCGCCCGGTTCAGGAGCTGCGCGGCCGCCGGTGACGTCGCCAGGTTGATCTGCGGCGGGTTCAGGCTGAGGGGGGCACCGCGCCGGATCGGGGGGGAGCGCGGAACGGGTGCCGGAGGGGACACGGGGGGACTCACCGTGGGCTGCTGCTGCGGTGCCGGCTGGGCGCCGTTCGCGCCCGAAGAGCCGCTCTGCCTGTTTGCCGCCAGGCTCGCCTGCGGGGAGGAAAAAACGGTGAGTGTCACCCGCCGTGCCGCAGCGCGGCACCCATGGGTGCCCCCCCCCCCCCGCCCCGCCCCGGGGAATGGGGGACGGGGCAGGGGGGGATGCTGAGCCGTACCTGCTGGACGGCGGCCAGGCTCTGGAGCTGGGCGCTGGTGAGGTGCTGCTGCTGGAGCGCGGCCGTCTGCAGCATCAGGTGCTGCTGCTGCGCCGCGTACATCTGCTGCAGGTACTGCGCCGCCGTGTTGGGCTGCCGGTGCAGCGCTTGCTGGATCACCTTTCGAAGGGTGGAAATACGTCCCCGGGCTGCACCCCGACCCCGAAACGCCACCCGCCGACCTCCAACCCCCCCCCCCCTAAAATACCGGACCTGGACTGTCTGGCGGTCAGGGATGCTGCTGTAGACGGAGATCTGGGGAGCGGGCGGGCGCGCGGTGCCGGTGCTGCTGGGCGTTGTGGCAGTGCCGCCGGCGCTGCTGGAGGGCAGAGGTGCCGGGAGCTGCTCGTTCTCCATGGCGGGGCGCCGGGGTGCCGCGAGGCAGCGGGGGTCAGGCTAGAGCTGGGGAGGGGGGAGGCGAGGGGTGGGGGGGGAGAAAAGGTGAGAGGGGGTGCCCCGCAGCACCCTAAGTTGGCACCCGATGTCTGCTCCGAGCCGTGGCGCCGGGTTACAGCTGGGGCGCTGGTGCAGCTGTGCCAACGGGTGTGCAGGACCACGCATCCCCCCCCCCTTGGGGTGTTTGGGAAGGGGATAAGACACTCCCCCCCTCCCCCGAGCCCCTCCCGTTGAAAGCTCCTGAGGCAAAACATCTCCCACCCCAGGGTGCACCCATGGGTGCCAGCTGGTTGCAGCAGGGGGGCCTTGCACCCACGTGGCCACCCGACCTGGCACCTCCGGCGCAGCCAAACCCCTCCCCGGGGCCGGGTGCAGTCCTGCCGCGCTTCAAAGGCCCCAGGGGGGTTGCAGCCCCCTGCCCACCACTTCCTGTCTGCCGGCCCCCCCGGCCGCGGGGGAGCCGCGGCTGTGACCCCCCCGGTATCGAGGAGGGGGAGGAGGAGGATGGCAGGATGGAGGAAGGCCGGCGGGAGGCCCCACGGTTCATCCTGCCACCCAAAGAGCGGGGTCAGCGGGTCCCCCCGGTGGGGGGAAGGGGGCTGGGGCCGCATCCTGCCCTGGGTGGTGAGGGAGGGGCAGGGCGGGGGGAGATGAGGAAAGGGAGGACTGAAAGGAAAGATGGACGGAAGGACAGACAGAGGTAGGGAAGGGATGATGGGAGAGAGGGAGGGACGGACAGAAGGACAGAGGAAAGGGAAGGGTAGAAGGAAGGACGGAGAGAGGGACGGCTGGAAGGATGGAAGAGACAAAGGTAATGATGCAGGGACGGACAGAAGGACGGACGGGAGGAGGAGAGGGATGAAGGGACAGACAGAGAGAAGGAAATGAGGGAAGCAGGAAAGGGACAAAGGACAGGAGGGAAGGACAGAAGGAGGATGGGACAGAAGGAAATAGGAAAGAGATGGCAGGAAGGAGAGAGAGCAAGGGAGGGAGAGACGGATGGAAGTAGGAAAGGGATGAAGGACAGAAGGAGGGATGGAATGACAGACAGGAGGAGGAAAGGGATGGACAGAAGGATGGATGAACCAGGAGGGAGAGGCAGCAGGAGGAATGAATGGATGGAAGGATGGACAGAAAGAGGAAAGGGATGGAAGGAGGGAGGGAAGGGAGGAAGGACGGACAGAAGGACAGACTGAAGGATAGATGGAAGGAAGGAGGAGAGGGACCAAGGACAGGAGGAAGGAGGGAAGGGAGGGACCAAGGGATGGAGGGAAGGACAGACAGCTGGGAGGATGGATGGACAGATGGGAAGAGATAAAGGGAAGGACAGACAGAAGTAAGGCCGGATGGACATTGGAGAGGGACGCAGGGATGAAAGGATGGACAGAGGAAAGGGACGGAGGGAAGATGGAAGGAAGGACAGGTGGAAGGAAGAAGAGGGACAAACGGATGGAAGGGGACGGACGGGAGGAGGACAGGGACAGAGGGACACAGGGTGCTGCAGAGGCCACAGGGGGGTTCATGGGCAGCACCACCATCACCGTGGTGGCCATGAGGCTCCGTGGCCACCAGTAGCCACTGCGCTCCAGTGGCACCTCCGCTCACCTGGCAGGGACACCATCCCTGCCAGGCCCCTGCGCGGCCAGGCAGCGGGTGCCACCGCCATGGGTGCCACCTCCATGGGTGCCACCGTGGCAGGACCTGGGACAGCAGTGTGGGGCGCTGCAGACCATGGACAGCGGCCGCGGCGGGTGGCCTTGGTGGCCACAGTGGGTGGCCTTGGTGGCCACACCACAGCACGACCCCAGCAAACCACACCCGCCACCTCCAGCACCCAAGGGATGTGGCAGTGGTGATGTCCACTGCCTCGGTGGCCCGTGGGGTTGTGTCCCCTGAGGGTGCTGCTGCCCTGAAGCATGGGGTGGGACATGCACATGTCCATGGGGGTGGCAGCACGTGTCCCCACCGCTCCTTCATGTGGCCCGTGACACTCCCAGCCCCGTGTCTGTCTGCCAGCACGTGTCCACCATTAGCCGGAGAAATTTTGGGAAGCGCTTTTCCCCCGCCAAGAGGCCACAGACCTTTTTTCCCCCCTGAGAAGAACCTGGTGGCACCCGAGTGACATTGGGCCACCGCAGTGACCGACACAGAGGGACCACGCTGGGCTCATCCGGAGCCAAAATCCCCCCAGGAGGAACACGGCACAGGAAGCTCCTGGCAGCACCCACCACCCACCCACTGTGGGGCCAAGCCCCCCTGTCCTCACCTGCACCGAGCCCCCATGGACTTTGGGGTGTCTGACAGGGGGACCTCGCTTTTGAGCTACAGCTGACAGGAGAAATCTGCTTCTGACCCCTGTAAACCCCTCAAAACCATTAAACCCACCCAAAATAAAAAAAATAAATAAAAAAAGGGGAAGAATTCCAGCACCACTGAGCAATGCAGGACCCACCACGGGTGGGGGATGTGGGGGGCCCCACAGCTGGCACAGGGAGGAACCGTGGAGCTGGAACCCCCTGAGCTGAGCCCAAAATGGGGGTGCACAATGATGGGGGGACAGGGAAATCATAAAGGGGGGGTGGGAAAGGATAGAGGGGGGAAGATAGAAGGGGGGTGGGATATAATAGTAAACACTGGAGTATGATAGTGGAGGGGTGGGCAATAATAAGGGGGTGCAAAATCAGAAGTGGGGTGAAAAACAATGTGAGGGGTGGGATATAATAGAGGGGGGGTCAGCTAAGATAGTAAGCAGTGGAACATGATTGCGGGGAGGTGGGAAAAATAATAAGGGGGGGCAAAGTCGGAGAAGGGGGTGCAAGATGATGGTGAGGGGCAGGATATGGTGGTCGAGGAGGGGGAGTTGTGCGGGGTGGGATATGATGGAGAGTGGTGAAACCTGATGGTGTGGGGTGGAGAGTAATAATAAGGGGGTGCAAAATCAGCGGGGGGGTGGGGGCACAAGGTGATGGTGGCAAACATGAGTGGGGGTGGGTGGGGAATGGGGGGGGGATCTAAAGGGGGGGAGGGGAACGGCCGAGGGGACACGGGGACTGGTGGGGTCTGAGCCAGGCGGGTGGCGGTGGGCGCCCGGGTGGGTAAACTGAGGCACGGCGGGTCCCGGGGCGCATGCGCGGCGCGGCCCCCCCCCCACCCCCCTTCTCCCCTCAGTCCCCCCCCCTCCCCGGCCCCGGCCCGGCCCAGACAAAAGCCGCCGGGGCCCGGTAGCGGCGGCAAGCGCGGTACCTGCGGCCCGGGCGGAGAGGCTCCCGCCGGCCACGGCCATGGCCCAGGCGCCTCCGGGGACGGGCGGGGGGCGCAGGGGGGTCCCGGTGCCGGTGCCGGTGCCGGTGCCGGCGGGGCCGGGCCCGCGGCCGCTCCCTCCTCCCTCAGGCGGCGGCGCGGCGGCCCGATGCCATAACTCATTTGCATTCCTCCGCGCGTCACGTGAGGCGGCCGGCCAATCGCCGCCCCGCCCGCCCCGCCGGACACGCCCACCGAGCCCCGCGCCCGCCGCGACGGCGGCCGCCGCTCGCGCTCGCCATGGCAACGTGGGGAGGGGAGGGGGGGGGGGCAGCGGGGGGGGTGGGGGAGCGGGGTCGCCATGACAACGGGGAGGGGGGAGGAGGAGGAGCCCCGGGGGGGGGGGGGGGGCCGGTACCGGAGGGTGTCGCGGCACAGGGGTGTTGGCACCGGCCCCCGGTGCTGCCCGGGGTCACTCGGGGTCGCACCTCGGGCTGGTACCGACGGGGTGTGCTGCGGCGGGGGGGGGGGGTGGTGACATGGTGACATCGGTGCCCGTGTCCCCGGTGCTACTTGAGGTCACCGCGGAGGTGGCCAGGCCCGGTACCGGAGGGATGCTGTGGCGGGGGGGTGGTGGCACCGGCCCCCGGGGTCACCCGGGGGTGCTTCCCGGGGCCGGTACCAACGGGATGCTGCGGCACGGGGGGGTGGTGGCACCAGTGCCCGTGTCCCCGGTGCTGCCTGGGGACACCCGTGGGTGTTCCCAGGGGTGTCCAGGACCAGTACCGGAGGGACACTGTGGCGGAGGGGGGGTGGCACCAGTTCCTGGTGCTGCCGGCGGTCTCCCGGTGACACCCAGTGGGTGCTCAGTGCCGGCACTGGAGGGATGCTGCGCCGGTGGCACCAGTCCCCGTGTCCCTGGGGGCACCCCGGGGTGCTGCTGGGAGGGTGCTGGGAAGGTCCAGCTCCTGCCCTCCTGTCCCCGCTGCTGAGCGGCATCACCCTGAGGTCCACCCAACTCACTGCATTTAATGCCACCGGTGGGGACATTATTTGCAGAAGGGATTTGGGGCGCTGAAATTCAGTTAATCACACTTAATTTGCTGCTGGCTAATTAACACCTCTTCATCTGGGGTGAGCTGGAGAAACCTGCAGCCCCCCCAACCCAGCAGGTCGCCCTCAAATTCCCCCGGGGCTGGATGGAGCTGGAGGTTGGTGGCTTCATCCCTGGTTTTTCCAGACCCAGGCGGGAGCTGGACTTTGGACCCGTCTGCCCGGCAGCGGGTCAGGAAATCAGTGCGGCGAGGGAAAATAGTGCTGGGCCAGAGGGGCCAGCCCTGCTGTGAGCTCAGTAAATAAAAATATCTGCTCCCAAAGGGCTGGGGGGGTTGCAAAAGGGACTCATAGGTTTGCAACAGGGATTTGGGGGTTTGCGAAGGGGTCTCGGGTTTGCCGTGGGGCTAGGGGGGTTTGCAAAGGGACTTGTGGGTCTGCAGTAGGACTTGTGGGCCAGCAACGGGACTCACGGATTTGCAAAGGGAGCTTGTGAGTTTGCGATGAGGACTTGTGTGTTTGCAACAGGACTTGGGTTTGCAAAGGGAACTCAAGGGTTTGCGATGGGACTTGGTGGTTTGCAGTGGGACTCAAGGGTTTGCAAGGGGATTTGTGGGTTTGCAAAGGGGAGTCCTGGGTTTGTGTGCAGGACTTGGGGTTCGCAATGGGATCTGTGTGTTTGCAGCAGGGCTTGTGGGTTTGTAATGGGGCTCGAGGGTTTGCAAAGGGGACTTGTGGGTTTGCAACGGGACATGGGGGTTTGCACATGCGGCTTGAGGATTTGCACACAGGACTCTTGGGTTTGCAGTGGGGACTTGTTGGGCTCAAGAGGAGTTGAGGATTTGCACGTGGGACTCGAGTTGCATGTGGCCTTTGAGGATCTGCACCATGGGGCTTGTGGATTTGCAGAGGGGACTCGTGGATTTGCAAAAGGGCCTTGAGAGTTTGCAACGGGGATTTGTGGATTTGCAAAGGAGATTTGTGGGTTTGCAACAGGAATAGTGGGTTGGCAAAGGGGACTTGTGGGTTTCCACAGGGGATTCGAGGACCTGCAGTGGCACTTGTGTTTGCAGTGGGGCTGGGGTTTGCAAAGAGGGCTCGTGGGTTTGCAAAGAGGGCTCGTGGGTTTGCAAAGGGAACTCAAAAATTTACAAAAGGGACTGAAGGATTTGAAGTGGTGGCTGGGGTTTGCAAAAGAATTGCATGTGGCACTCGAGAGTCTGCACGTGGGGCTCGAGGATTTGCAAAGGGGGCTCGAGGGGTTGCACGTGGGGTTTGAGGACCTGCAGAAGGGACTCGTGGATTTGCAAAGGGGATTTGTGGGTTTCCGCGTGGGACTTGTGGGTTTGCAAAGGGGTTCTGTGAGTTTGCAGTGGGACCCGTGGATTTGCAGTGGGACCCATCATGGGTTTGCAGCTTGGCCGGGCTGGGGAATCCTGCGGGGGCTGGGAGGGCACTGGGGCGGCTGTGAGGGCTACGGAGGGGCACTGGGGGCTACTGGGGGCTACTGAGATGGCTATGAGGCGTGGGGGGCACAGGGGGGGGGCTGTGAGGACTATGGGAGGGCACTGGGGGAAACTGGGTGGTCTGTGAAGGCTATGGTGGGGCACTGAGGAGAATTGGGGGGGGGGGTGTCTATGAGGGCTGTGGGGGGACTCCAGGGAAGCTTATTTGGGGGTACTGAGGGGGGACGTCCCACGGGCTGGGGGGCGGCTGAACCCCCTCTTTGGCCTTCGCGGCTGCTGCCACGAGGGGGCAATGCCTTCCCTCCCACACTGAGCCTGCACAATGCCTGCATCAGCCGGGATTTAGCCCTTCCCCCCCCCCCTTTTTTCCCTTTCCCCCTCATTTTTCCCCTTCCCCCCACCCTTTCCCCCCCCCCCCCCCCCCCCTTTCTTCCGCTTCTTTTTTTTTATTTTTTCACCCCTTTTTTTCCCCAGGACCTCCTGGGATTCAGGATGCTCTGGGCCCACTTGAGCATCCCTGCCCACACCAAAGCCACCGCAGACCAGTGTATGGCCCAAATCGTGCCCTTTTCAACCCAAAAAAGCCACGCCGGGCAATGACCTCACCACCCGTGGCAGAGATCGGGCAAGGGATCCCCATCAGGTACCACCACGGGTGAAAGACGATGCCCATCAAGCAAACCTCCAGCACCCTTTGCCCCTGGAGATGTGGTTTCATTTTGGGGTACCCCATCCCACATCCCACCCCTCATCCCCACCTCCATATCTCCACGTTGAACCCCCCCCACACCCCCCAAAAAAATCCAAGTGATGCCAAGATCCAGGCGTCCCGATGCTCCCCGTGCATCCCACCGGCACCGGGCCACGATGATGCTGGTGGGATGTAATTCCTGAGCGCTCCGGGGAACCAGGCAGGAAAAGCTTTTAAGCAAAAATCCGTATTGTTTCCACTCAGCGGGGTGACCATTCAACCTCCAAACACGCTCAGGGTTGGGTTTCCAGCCGGAAATTTCCCTCTGAAGGTACAAAAAGCCACATTTGGCCCCAAAAAATAAGGGGGGGGGGGGAAGAAAAAAATTCCTCCACCTCCCTGCGCGTTCAGGCTCTGCAAATATTTATGCGGTTCAAAAAGGTCCCAAGGGAACAAAGCACGGACGCGGCGCGTCCCCCCCCGAACAATGAAGCCGGATATTTTCTGATGCGAGTGGAGCCGAGGCTGGAGCCGGCTCATATCCGCCTACCTGTGGCCTCCAGCTGGTTTAAATCCCACCAAGAAAAGGCAAAATATTATTTTTTTTGGGGGAAAAAAAGGCTTTTTGGAGAGAAAATTTTTTTTTTTTGAAAAACAAAAAAAGGGGTTGAGGGGAAAAAAAAGGGTTTTTTTTGGAAAAAAAGGCTTTTTGGGGAAAAAAAAGGGCTTTATGGAGAATTAAGGCTTTTTTGGGGGAAAAAAAAAAAAAAGGACTTTGCACAAGCGCAAGGTCACAGCTCCTTGTAAGCATCTTTAGCATGGCAGGGTGTCACACCATGGTAGTCCCCAGGTTGCTGGTGCACGGTGTCACCATGTCCCTTTTTTAATGAAGCTGGGTGATTTAATGAGGCTGGGAGCTCGTTATCCCCTACTGGGATGGAGGGTCCCCCCATCCGTCCCAGCCTCCCCTGCATGAGCATCCTGGGATGCAAAGGTCACCGTGATGACCCAAGGCATCACCCCAACACCCCCAGAGACCCCCCAGCCTCGAGCATCCCCCCCATTCCAGGGCAGGAAAGCGAGGAAAAGGGAATGACCGAGGTTACATAAATATTTTGAGCCAGCTTTCGGGGGTTATTTCATTTATTTGCAATGGATTCGGGTATTTTTCCAAAGGAAATTGCAGGCTGACGCAGTTCCCACCCCCCTCCCCTCCCCCTGCCCTCCCTGGCTTCTTCTGGATGCTCTAAAATGGGCTCTTTTTGCACAATTTTGCCTGAAGGTTTTTTGTTTTTTTTTTTTTTTTTTGCAATTCCCTCCATTTTTGCCCCAAACCCTCTGTTTTCCGCTCATGAAGCAGAAATTGCATTTTCCATCCACTTGGTGTCAGCTCCAGCCCCCTCTCCAGCCCTGCCATACATCCGTCCATCCATCCCAAACCACCCCAAACCCATGAGTGTTGGCTTATTTCGGGGGGATGCATTCACCTCCCTGCAATTAAAGCCTTAATTTACCATTGTTAATGATGATCAGGTCATGAATATCCTATAGGATCCATATGGGAGTGATTCAGCCTCTGTTTTTCAGCTGGAGATCCTGCTGGGTGCCGAATCTGCACTGGGATCCAAGCACCTTTTAGTGCTTTAATTCTGCTCATGGCTCCCATGCATCATCCTCTTTGGGTTAATTAAATCACACCAATTTAGTTCAGAAATGGCTTGAACTCTGGGATGCAGGGGGTCTCCCAAAACCAAACTGCTGCTTTTGGTTGCAATGTGAATTTTTTTATCCTGGCATGTCAAAGCAGGAGGAGCCAAGTGCTGCTGGGGCATTTAGCTCCGGGGCATTTAGCTCTGGGGCATTTAGCTCCGGGGCATTTAGCTCCGGGGCATTTAGCTCTGGGGCATTTAGCATCTGGGCAGTGGGGAATTTATCATCGGTGCATTTAGCAAAAGAGCATTTAGCACCAGGGAATTAAGCAC